GTGGGCACTGTGAGCCCTGTTAGAGCTGTAGACCAGCGAACAGCCAGTGACAAGCTGACCCCAATCCCTCCTCACATCCAGATCAGATAAGCCTCGGAAAAACCAGGCCAAACACAGATCAGCTCCGGCCCCTCCTGCTACCCCCCACCTTATGTGGGAGTAATGGAGGGCAGGAGAGTGGCGCTCCGAGTTGGCAGGTGATTAATACAAAGTAGTGCAAAGAAATCTGAAAACTGGGACTCGGGTGTGGAGACCTGTAGTGGTTACAGCACTATTTGAAGGTGGGCAAAGAGGGGGCAAGGCTGGCACAGTGAAGTAACGCAAGGTTCAGCTGATGCACTGATTTTACAGGCCACGGGGAAAGATAATAGTTTGTATTTTTTTTTAACGGCAGTTTATCTCATCAAACCGTTTGAAAAGTGCTGTCGCTCGTCCGGTCTAACCACTGCTGTTGTTGGCAAACGTAGATTGTGCAAACAGAGCATACGGAGAGGTTAATCTGGAGGATTCGTTGCCTAAAACACAGTGAATCTCACTTATTTTCCCCAATTGCAGGGTTGGGCGGTTCTTTAACCTACATGGACTTGGGGGGGGGTGGGGGGGAGCTCGGTTTAACGTCTCATCTAAAGAATGGCACCTCCGACAATTGGCTGCTGTGTTTCACCCACAAAATACAAAGTCAATTTACTTTACAATATATTCTGTGAAGTGCTTTGTGAAGTCTTGAAGACATGATATGGCTCGGTATCAAATACAAGGAGGAGGATTATTATTATTATTATCCCAGGTCCCTGTTGGGAAGAGAAGAGAGTTTGTGTGGCAAATGTAGTGGAGTGGAGATGGAGATGTTAAAGATGGAGCTGTTCACGCTGCGCTAAAGGGATTCAGGAGATAATGGCTGACAATTCTGCAGATTAATTGGCCGTGGATGTTTGTGGGACTTCGCTGAGCGCACAAAGGCTGCTTTGTCTCTCCTCCCCTCCCCTCCCCCCCGCCCCACACAAAGGGTTGATCATGTTCGTATTTATTGTAAAATGATTGTATTAATCAACCACCAATGGTCTCCCCACCCTTCCCTCCCTCCCCAAACCGCTCAGTATCTAACCTGCCAACTCTGCCGTGCTGTTGACGGGTACAATATGAATAGTTGCAGGATAAATATTTTGGGATGGGTTTGGATGAAAAAGTCCCTGATCCCATTCAGTTACTCGGATCCCTGACTGTCCAGCGCCTTGGGAGGTCCTTCCGACATGAAAGGAGCTGCGTGAATGTGATGTGTTGTTGTTGTTCACTGTTTCCACACTAATAAGATTATAATAATAATAATAATCCTGGCATTTGACACAGCCTTATCACGTCTTCGAGACGTCTCAAAGCGCTTCGCAGAATAGACTGTAAAGTGGAGTGACTGTGTATTTTGTGGGCGAAATGTGGCGGCCAATTTGCTCACAGTTTTATTTGTGGGGCGATTGTTGGCCAGGACACCGGGGGGCGCGGGGGGTGGGGAGGGAGACTCTTTTCCAACAGAGTCGCGGGATCTTTAGGGTCAGCCAAGACTATGTGGTCTTGACGTGGGGCTCGAACCCACAACCTTCTGACTATGAGGCGAGAACGATACCACTGAGCCAGGCTGAGTGACTGTTTTGTGGTTAAATGCAGCAGCCAATTTGCGCTGAGCAAAACAGCCACGAAGTGAATGACCATTATTATTGGGGTGGGGTGAGAGGGGAGACTGATGTGGCGGGGGGGGGGGGGGGAGAGACAGCGACTGGAGGTGCTAACAAACCAGATTAATGACCAGATGCTCCTTTCGTTGGCTTTTCCTCTGTAATTAACTGACGGGGGGGGGGGGGGGACCTGTTGGTGTTTGTAACTTGACAAAGGCACCAGTTTGTGGACTTTGAGCTCCGTTGACACTCAGTGGACGATTGGGGAGGGAGAGGAGTGGCTGGCGGAGGGAGAGGAGGGGTTGGGGGAGGGAGAGGAGTGGCTGGCGGAGGGAGAGGAGGGGTTGGGGAGGGAGAGGAGGGGTTGGGGGAGGGAGAGGAGGGGTTGGGGGAGGGAGAGGAGTGGCTGGCGGAGGGAGAGGAGGGGTTGGGGGAGGGAGAGGAGGGGTTGGGGGAGGGAGAGGAGTGGCTGGCGGAGGGAGAGGAGGGGTTGGGGGAGGGAGAGGAGGGGTTGGGGGAGGGAGAGGAGTGGCTGGCGGAGGGAGAGGAGGGGTTGGGGGAGGGAGAGGAGGGGTTGGGGGAGGATGCTTCCCTTGTCACAGACACAAACTATCCCCCAGATACAACTCTTGTGTCTGTATGATTGTCCCCGGCAGCGACTGCACCACAATCAGATGTTCTGGGGATCGAAGCCCAGGTCCTGTCACCCGTGAGGCCATCTCTCCAAACCCCTACACAACAGCGACAACAATCAGTGATGGAGGGAGTGTCTGGCTGATGATTCTCTCCCTCTCTCCCCAGCCCCGACTGCTGTGCTGACAGGAGGTGACTTTGCCGTTGAGTTTGCGGCTCAGGTTGTGATGAGCTACGAGGGTCTCGGTGTTGGTGCTGGGGCCGAGATGATGGGAGACCCCCGCACTGGGGAGAACAGAGGAGAAGGGGAGCTGGGAAGTGAGCAGCGANGGGGGGCTGGAGCCGGAACAAGGCCGGGAGTGAGGAGCGGAGGCGCTGGTCAGACCCGAGCTTTGCCAGTCGGTGACAGGAAGACGCTTGGCAAACAACCGCAGCCGACACAGGCCCCCAGGGGGTCAGGCACGGCCAGGAGGACCCCTGACCCCGAGCCCAGAGCCCAGGGGCCCAAACCCGGCCAAAGAGCAGCTGCGACCGCAACAGCTAAACCCGGGGAGAGGAGAGCTCCCGGCCGGGACAAGGACAAGGACAAGCCGAGCCTGAACTGGCTGCCCGCGGGCCGGGTGCACAACTCCCACCCGGGTTGTGGGGGCGGCAGAGGGGCTGCAGACACCAGAGCCCTACCATCCAGCAACAGAGACCTCAAGGGCAAACCCACAGCAAACTCCTCAGGTTGGTGTCGGTGAGGGTCGAGCAGAGAGGCCCTGAGCTGCTTTTCTGCGTCTGTGTTTTTAATAATAATAATAATAATCCCGGCGTTTGACTCGGCGCCTGATCACGTCCTCGAGACGTCTCAAAGCGCTTCACGGGGATACACCGTCAAGTGTAGTGACTGTGTGTGTTTTTGTGGGAGGAACTTGGAAGCCAGTTGTGCCCAACGACGTGCCTACAAACAGTTGCATCTCTCTCTTGCTCTCTCTCGCTCTCTCTGGCTCTGTGTGTGTGACGCTATCTGTGATGGGGCTCGATGGTTAGTTTAATCGGCCGAGTTGTTGGCTATTTAGTGTCTCATCTCATGCGTTTGTCCTTCAGCCCAGCTCCGAGCCGGAGCCAAACCCTCGTTCCAGTTTTTTTTAAAAAAAGAGATAAAATAAACATTGACCTCGCGCAGAAATGCAGATATTTACAGCACGGAAAGAGGCCATTTGCTCCATCCATTAAGCTGTTGAGTCCCACAACTTGGTGGTGAGAGCTCGCGCCCCACAAACAAGAGGACCCGGGTTCGATTCCTGGGGGCGAAACACGAGAGAAGTTTACCCCACACGCTCGACTGTTGCGTTTCACCCACAAAATCCACAGTCGATTCACTTTACAATGTGTCCTGGAAAACGAAGACGTGATAAGGCGCTCAGTCAAACGCCAGAATTATTATCTTTCCTGAAATGAGGTGCCCATAACTGGACACAATCGGGGAGGGAGCGGGAGGGAGCAGAAGGGGGGGAGGGAGGGAGGAGGAGGGGTGGGGGAGATGAAGGTTGGCGGGGGAACAAGACAGAGCAGGTGGGACATGAACTAGATGCTGCAGTAACCGCTTCTGACGCTGGTAAATGGCAATCTGTGTTTTTCAGCCACAGCAGCGAGCAGCTCAGTGACCAAGAGACGAGGACCGGTCAAGCCACTGGGGGCCGGTGTGAAGCAGGACAAGCCAACAACGGTGGCAACACAGAGGTGGGTCAGTGCCGGCCGGACCGTGCCGTGGGGAGCCCAGTGTCAGGCTCAGTCACCACCGGCACGTTCTCAGCACAGTCTGTGGGTCTGGGTCTGTTCAGTGTAGTGACTGTGTATTTTGTAGGAGGATGAGAGGATTCTGGCTGTCTCTGTGGAGTCCTGAGGCTCAGGGTTTAGACCCCTCACCTCGCACGCCAGAGGACTCGGGTTCAATTCCCGGGCGGGTCAGGTCTGGGCGAAACGTTTGACAAGTTTCCTTACTCCACAGACAGACACACACACAGACACACATATTCTGTTTCCCAACTGTCAGTAGGAACCCGCTTGTTAGTTGATTGGGGGATCACTTTCCGGGGGAAATAATCCCTGTATAACAATAATAATTTGGTCCCTAAATCCACGACTATTTGTGAGACGCTGCTGTGTGCAATTGGCACAAGGAAACTTGCCCAACGTTTCTCCTCGCCCGGGAATCGAACACTTCACAAATTCTCTGAGCTCTAACATCTGGATGTAGGTCAGGCAAGTGGAGCAGGTCAGTGTGTGTGAAGAATAGCTGTGAAACTGTGTCACTGCAGGTTGGTTGTGTGCGTCTGGGTGTGCGTGCGCGTGTGTGTGGGTCTGTGTGTGTGTGTGGGTCTGTGTGTGTGTGTGGGTCTGTGCGTGTGTGCCTGGCTTTGTCTGTGTCTGGCTTTGTGTGTGTCTATTTGTAGGGTATTGCTGTCCGTAATTGGCTGCCGTGTTTCGCTGACAAAATGCACAGTCACTACACTTTATAGTATATCCCGTGAAGCGCTTTGAGACGTCTCGACGACGTGATGAGGCACTGGGTCAAAAGCCAAGGTTATTATTATTATTATTATTATTATCGAGCTTGACCTGCAGTGACTGAGGGTCTTGTTGTATCCTTGAAGGCCGGGCACAGCCGGTGGCCTGTCGACCAGACCCCTGCCCGCGGCGGCTGTGTGGAAGACGATGGTGAACTCGACCCCACCTCGCGGCGCGGCGCCAACAGCCGCTCAGCCAGGCCGGACCTCGGCAAAGACCGGCCTCCAACAAGCCAAAGTCACCCCAGCTCCGGGCCAACCAGGTGAGGCCTGCAGTGACACTGCGCTTCCAGTTACCAGCTCGACGGCCGGTTGGACACTCAATAAATACATCAACCGGATATAATGACAGAGCAACGGTTCACATCTCACACACCTCACAGGGTTTGGGGAGAGGAGCAATGGCATCGTCAACAACAATCACAACAACAACAAATTACCATTGTAAAGCCCCCTCCCTTCACGTCAGAAAGATCTCCCAGAGCCCTGGGCAGTCAGGGATTTTTTAGAGCCAAGCTGGGAGTTGGTGGTTTAACATCCACCTAAACAGACAGACGGGACCTCGGCCTAATGTCCTGTCCAGAGGACAGCGTCTCCAACAATGCAACCACCTTCTCCCCGCCCCCCACACCAAACTCCCCTCTTCGACCACGCCTTTAGCCACCTTCCTAAGCGTATCCTCCCCGCCCTCCAAATCCTCCTGACCCCAACCCCCAGCTCGGGTCCAAATCCCTGGCTGTCCAGCGCCTTGGGACATCCTTCCAACATGAAAGGGTCTGTGTAAACGTCATTTATTGATGTTGTTAATAATATAACAGTAACTGACTCTAGTGGCCAACTTGAGTTGAATGGTTTGGGTCGAGGCCTCTTCACTAAATGTTGTTGTTGTTGTTGACAGAGTGGAATCAGCTGAAGAAAGTGAGATCTGTCACTGAGACGAGCCGAGGACCGTCCGCTGCCAAACCGGCCCGAGCCAGGCCCGAGAGCAGCTCAACAGACAGGGAAACGGACGTGAATCCCAAAGGCCAGGGGCCCAAAGCCAGGCTGAGGGGCCACCCAGGCCACATCACCACCAGGGGCTCTGCACCAGACAAGGCCCCCTGGGCTTGGAGCTCCAGAGTGGCCACCAAGAGACCCCTGGCTCCCAGTAACAGGCCACCCAGAGACCCTGGCCTCCAGCCTCCGCCCTACCCTGTGGCCATCGTTCAGCCTCAGGGCAAGGCCCCGCCCACAGCCCCGCCCATCAGAGAAAGCAATGAGGCTCCGCCCTCAGCACTGCCCATTGGTGAAGCTCCGCCCTCATTGCCCAGCAATGAGGCTCCGCCCTCAGCACTGCCCATTGGTGAAGCTCCGCCCTCATTGCCCATCAATGAGGCTTCGCCCTCGGCACTGCCCATTGGTGAAGCTCCGCCCTCATTGCCCATCAATGAGGCTTTGCCCTCGGCACTGCCCATTGGTGAAGCTCCGCCCTCATTGCCCATCAATGAGGCTTCGCCCTCGGCACTGCCCATTGGTGAAGCTCCAACCTCATTGCCCAGCAATGAGGCTCCGCCCTCAGCACTGCCCATTGGTGAAGCTCCGCCCTCATTGTCGACCTACAATGAGGCTCTGCCCCCTTTCCTGACTGTTGTTGAGCCTTTGCTCACGTGGGTCCCAGTGGCTGAGGCGTTGGAGTGGGAGAAGTTGGGGGGGGAATGGGAGAACGAAGCCTCGACCAACTTGAATCAAAAAGAGAACGAAGCCAAGCAGGACAGCCTCGTGGCCGACCAGATCCAGGGAGAGCCCCCCACCGAGCCCATAGAGTCCTCGGGAGAGACTTCGGGAGAAGATGAGATGGAGGAGGAGGAGGAGGAGGAGAGTCTGGCTCCTGGGGTGACCCAGACCCAGCGATGGCTCGAAGGCATCGACAACCCGGTGTTTGAAGACAAGGCGGTGACGGAGATATCCGACTGTTCTGCCCCACCGCCCAGCCCCGCACTCTCCAAGTCCTCAGCCCTCCTGCTTCACTGTGTGTCAGAAGCTGAGGAACTTGATCTTCGTTTGGCCCCGTCCCCCCTCCCCGTCGCTGCCGCCCCTCCACCAGCCCCCGACACGGAGACAGACACCCCCGACTCCCAACCCATCCTCACTCCCCGCCCAGACACAGCCCCTGGTCAGCAACAGGAGGAGCAGATTCCCGCTGATGAGCAGCCCCCAGACGACGGACGATCCTCTCCTGCCATTGGCGATCCCCGCAACGACGGCCCCCGGGATCTCGAGGACAACCCGTCCCCACCGGACATTTTGATGGAATTCCTGGAAACCTCGCTGGGGTCGGGGCGCGAGTCTGACCTCCTGGACCACAGCTGTGGAGATGGCTTGAGCGGCCCTCAGCACAACCCTCGTCAAGCGGGAGATGGTCCCCACCAGCCCCTGGCCGAGGACTGGCCTGACCGGAACGAGGACCTCAGTGAACGGGTGGAGGGAGAGGGCGCGGAGGCGGGCGACATCTCTGTGTGCGAAGAGAACCGTAGCTCCCTGACAGGTAAAGCCTGAACAAAACCTGACCGTTTCCCATCCAAACACACGGCCGGCAAAGCAATTGGGGGGTGAAGTGAAGTGTGTAAGTGCAATAAGGTGATCGGATTAAAACATAAACATGTTGACCTGGACCTGTGAGAGTGTGAGAGTGTGTGTGTGTGTGTGTGAGAGGAGTGTGTGTGTGTATGTGAATGTGTATGTGAGTGAGCGTGTATGTGTGTGAGTGTGTGTGACTGAGTGAGTGTGTGTGTATGTGAGTGTGTGTATATGTGAGTGTGTATGTGAGTGAGTGTGTGTGTGTGAGTGAGTGAGTGAGTGAGTGAGTGAGAGTGTATGTGAGTGAGTGTGTATGTGAGTGTGTGTATGTGAGTGAGTGTGTATGTGAGTGTGTGTGTGTATATGTGAGTGTGTATGTGAGTGAGTGTGTGTGTGTGAGTGAGAGAGTGTATGTGAGTGTGTGTATGTGAGTGAGTGTGTGTGAGTGTGTAACAGGCGTGAGCTGCACACAGGGCTGGGTTGTGGTTGTGGGAAAATCCTGTTGTTTGTGCAATGGCTGAGGTGGATAATCATTATTATCATTTTTTTTGTATTTGTTCACGACCAAAACAATGTGACTCTAGAGCGTGTGGGGGTGGGTATAGGTGTTTGTGTGGGTGTGGGTTGTGTCTTTGTGGGGGGGGGGGGAGGTGCGCGTGCGTGTGTGTGAGGGGGGGTGCGAGTGTGTGTGGGGGGTGTGCGTGGGGGTGTATGTGGTGGGGTGTGTGTGGGGGTGCACGTGGGGTGTGTGCGTGGGGGGGTTTATGTGGGGGTGTGCGTGGGGGGGTTTATGTGAGGGTGTGCGTGGGGGGTTTATGTGGGGGTGTGCGTGGGGGGGTTTATGTGGGGGGTGTGTGGGGGTATAACTCACTTTCCCCCCTTTCCTCTTGTTGAGGTTTGTCTAATAAACACAATGTGCTTTTCTAACCTGAGGCACCAGCCAATCTCATGGTGGATTTTCTTCGAGGGGGGCAGAAACATTTGGGGTGTGGGGGGAGGGCCTGTTGGACAGTGTGGTTGGGTTAGTTGCTGTCATAACCGACCCCCCTCTTCCCCCCCCCCCCCCCCACCTCTCCCCCACTCAATAATAATGGAGGGGGAGAGTGGGGATGGCAGGAGTGATTCTCATACTTTATCGAGTTGTACAGGGCAACGTGGGGGGGCGGGGAATTGGAGTTGAGGTGCAGATCAGCCATGATCTTATAGAATAGAATGGTGGAACAGGCTCCAGGGGCTGGATGGCCTCCTCCTGTTCCTACGTGTTTAGAAACTGTGCAGATACTCACAGAGTAAAAAAAATCACAGAACAAAAATATTTACAAAAGAGCAAACAGACAAACAATAATAAATGGCAATTTACACAACGACTTTCACGTCAGGAGGACATCTCGATGGTGCTGGGCAGAGAAGGGTTTGAGTGACACAGGGTCTGCATTGGGCAACTCCATCAAAGGGGGTAGATATAAAAATGGGGCACATTTATGGGGAGGGGGAAGGAGAAGGGGGTTTAATCTCGATCACTTTGATGTGTTAGTTATTTGCTGAGAAGCATCTCACTCCGATGCGATTCGTGAGGTAACTTGTTAACGTGTTGAATTTAATGGTTGCCCTTCACTGTCTGCCAACGTCACTGAGTTCTCCCCAGTCTCAGCCTGGAGATCCCTGCAGTGAGCGTGTGCGAAGATGTTATAATAATCTGAGGCATTTGACCCGGCGTCTTATCACATCTTCGAGCCGTCTCCAAGCGCTTCACAGGACACGCTGTGAAGTGTAGTGACTGTGTATTTTGTGGGCGAATTGTGGTGGGATTTCCCTACTATTGCAGGAAACGTGGCACTTATTGATCATTAGTAATAAGTGACTGATACTAATTAATAACTTATCCTTACATTTGATACTGTTCAAGGACATCTCAAAGAGCTTCATGGTATTTACTATGAGATGGAGTGACTGTGTATTTGTAGGCAAGTGCGTCAACCCAATTGTATATAGAAGTGTCCCACAAACAGGCGTGGATTGAGTGACTAGTTTTATCTGGAGGATTGTTGGCCTGGATATGGGGGAAGGGGGGGAGAGAAACTGCCTTCTCTAATACCCAACACTTGCCAGAAATGTTGCTGTTTATTGTCTTAAAATGTTAAGATTGTGGAAAAATCAGCAAAGAATCAACTTCCTGTTTGAAACTTCTAATGTATATATATTTATTTATATAACATATATTTTTTAATTTCTGCAGACCTCTTAAATTGTAAACCCAAGTGGACTCTCAGGAAAAGCCTGGAATAATAATAATGATGACAATAATAATCCTTGCTTTTGACAAGGCGCCTCATCACTTCTTCGAGGCGTCTCAAAGCGCTTCACAGGATGTACTGTAAAGCATTGTGACTGTGTGTTTTGTGGCCGAAACACACAGCGAAGTCCCCACAAACAGCCGTGGATGGAAGTGACCAATTTTAGATGAGGGGGTGGGATTGTTGCCAGGAGAGAGGGAGAGACAGAAACTCACTTCTCTTTTCAAATAGCACTGCAAGATCTTTAACGTCCACCTGGCTTCATAGACGGGACCTCGGTTTAAGGTGTCATCCAAAAACTGGCATCTACTATAATCCCCCCCCAACCCCACCACCCACATTCCAACCCCCAAAAAAGGACAGAGGAGAAATATGTATTTGCTGTTGGAGTGAGTCCCAGACTGTGACCTAAAGCAGTGTCTCCCCAGTTTGGTGATTGATGTTCCCGGAGCCTGGATGAAACGCCCAATTTTAGATTGAGGTCCTTTGTGTCTCAAGACGCTGCATAATTAAATTGAACTTTATTTTATTTCTGAATAAAAAGAGCAAAGGAACATCTAAATTTAACAGGGACCTAGATTTCCATCACTTTTACCTCTTGTTACCACAGGCCTGAGCGTGGAGTTTAGATTTGAATTAAGGAATGGGTGGGTTTGGGGTGAAGGTTGGAGGTTTGGGGTTTATGTGATGAGAAGAGATAATTATAATTCAGTGGATTAGATCTGACACACACGGAAACCCAGTGTCCTCGGGTTAACGACCCACCCGCCAGTGGGAATAGTTTCTCCTTGTTTATCCTATTGAATCCCTCATAATTTTGAAAACTTCTATTAAGTCTCCTCTTAACCTTCTCTGCTCCAAGGAGAAAAATTCTGGCTTTTCTCGCCTCTCCTGGTAACTGAAGCCCCTCATTCCTGGTACCATACTGGTCAATCTCCTTTGCACCCTCTCCAATGCCTTGACATCCTTCCCAAAGTGAACTGAACAGTCTCTCGCTGAGGCCTAACCAGTGTTTTATATAAAGGTTAATCATGATGGGAGTTTTGGGGTTTTTTATTTGCTTCTCTTTGGAAATGCTGCCTCTGTGTCGTGCTGCCTGCTGTCTGGTCTGGGCTGGTCTGGGGTTAGTCAGGGGGTCTCTAGACTTGCATGAAAACCATGTGAAACGCTTCCTCCTGACAAACGTGTAAAACCTTGAGGTGCTGTGGACTGTTTCAGGCGACTTAAGTGAGGGTGAGAGGGAGCGGCAGCCACAGTGTGGGGCGCGGAGAACATCGGGCCTTCCCCACATCCTCGCCACCATCTACGAGAGCGGGGAGGAGCTGGGGCTTCACCAGGACTGGCCAGACCTGGACCTCTGCCCGGACCCCAAGCCCAAAGGCCTGAGCCTCCAGATCGAGCCGGTGGCTGTGGTCCAGCAGATCATTAACCAGACGTTGTTGCTCTCTGGGGAGGCCCTCAAGCTTCACAGCAAGGTCATGGTGGACAAGGCGGAGCTGAGCAAGTGGACCGAACTCCTCTCTCCTCTGGACGATTCCACGGCCAGTGTGACGTCAGTCACCAGCGTCTCTCCTGAGGACCTGGCGTCTCCGCAGGGAGAGTGGATGGTGGTGGAGCTGGAAACCTATCACTGAAGGCAGCGCGGCAACACTCCCAATCCCCGGATCGGGAACGCTCGGAACCTGCACTATGCTGCCATCACACCCCCCACCCACCACCACCGCTGACAATTCCCCGTCTTGTGCATTGATGCCACACGTCGCCTCGAGCCATCGAGCCTCAGGTGACAGACACTGAACACAGACATTGTGAATGAGGACGTTTCCTTGTCACTCCTCGTGTTCGCGTGTTAAAGAACCCCCTCTCTCCCCCCGCCCCGCCCCTGGAATGGCCTCGCACACCACCCACTGACCGCTCGTTTGCACACTGGCTGCTCTCTCTCTCGCATGACTTCACTATTGCCTTTCTCTGTCGATGAAGAATCTCGAGGGCCGAGACTCAAAGCCGCTGTCCTCGCGCTCAGGACACCAAGCGAGCGAGTGAGAAGCTCATCACATCGCAAACTCTTCACCGCAACGCGAACGCTGGCTGGAATTGGCTGGATTGCTGTCTCCTGTTCTGTTGTCGGACAGTCCTACTGTTTACCGTGACTTGAATGACTTGTGCCTCTGCTTGTGACTCACTTCCGCACAGTGTGACTGACCTCCTGCCTTCCCGACGTTCCTCAGTGTGGCCTCAACAAGTGTCCTCCAAACACAGAGGCCCAGTCAAAGAGCCTTCATCCTGTTTCACCTCATTCCTGGGACCTCCCTGTTCCACTCATTAAAACTCCCCTGGAAATGCCCCCTCACCACTCCCGAACCCCCGCCTTCTTGCCCTGTGGCTCAGGAAGGGGTTTAGTTTATCGCGTTCCCCTGTAAGGTCCCTGATTGTTCAGGGGGAAGAACTCCAGTTCTCTCATCTCATCGGGCCTGAGCCTCGCTAACATCAGTGCTGGCACATTAATACCCCTAAATCGGAAGCTAACAGCAGAGTTTGAGTGAGGATGTGCAAGTGTCTGCAAATCAATTGGGGAGAGGGAGGGAGGGAGAGGAGGAGGAAAGGAGAGATGGAGGGAGAGATAGATGGAGGGAAGAGGGTCGTGTTGGAGGTGGGGGTGCCAGGTTTCTGCAGGTGAAAATCTCTGTAGCCTCCCGTCTCGAGTATTGCTGTCCCATTCCTGTGGCGCTGAGTGACGTTGAAGCTGGACGCTGGGTATGTTACAGAACGTGTGGTAGTCAGGGATGAAGGTCACCCTGAGAGTCACTGATCGCTGCAGGGTTATTGCTCTGTCTGTGCGAAAACCCTAACCCTCACGCTTTGTGCTGTGGGTCATTTATTTTTGCCCGTGTTTCATATGGAAGTGAGATTCTCAGGGATTGAGGAGGTCACCAGTTACCTGGAAACCATCATACCTGTCTCTGTCGCTGGCTGTACAATCTCCCTGAGCTGTTCACAATTGGTTGTTAATAATTATTATTGATTTTGCCCGAATAAATATTCACATTCGTGTGGCCGGGTTACGGTGCGAGTCCTGGTTCCTGAAATGTTGACCGAGTCAGAACGGCTCTTCAGTTTGTGATATTCTAATAATAATTCTTGATTTGACACAAGGCCTAATAATAATAATAATAATAATAATAATAATGATCCTTGCATCTGATATAGTGCTTTTCACATCTTCAAGACGTTTCAAAGTGCTTCACAGGATCCACTGTATAGTGAATTGACTGTGTTTTGGGGGAGAAATGTGGTATTGTATCCAGCGCTCCGGGACTCTACTCTGGATGAGGGTTGAGCTATACAAAGGCAACTTGTTCTTGTTGCTGCCTTCAGTCTGGAGTTCGCTGGGATTTGCAATGGGTCAGGGTCTGGGGGCCAGAGTCTGTTGACAGTCAGTGTGTTGATGCTGTGCTGTGTGTAAGCTGCGTATGCACCAGATCTCGACAGTAATGGAGTACAATAGACACCGAATGGTGTTGATGATTAAAGCCCCTGTGATTATGTCCTGTCTGTAGGTCAGGTCATGTCAGCCAGTGGCTGTAGTGTCCAGGCTGGCAGAGCAGGCTCTGGGCTGGTGGAGGGGGGGTGTTAGTGGAACTCACAGCCTGAGAGAAAAGACAATATTATCAGCACAGGAGGTCCTTGAGCCACTGAGCCAGCGTCATTGGTACCTTTGTTACCAATAATAATAATTTGGTCACTCAGTCCCCCAGGGCTTGTGGACACTGCGCTGCTGAGCGCAAATTGGCTGCTTCATTTCCCTTCTCTTTTCCCAGTGGAGCCACGAGAGATCTTTAACATCCGCCTGAACAGACACCTCCAGCAGCAGGGCAAGACCATGTCATTAACAAAACAAGCACAATAATCCTCTCAAATTAATACTTTAATATAAATGGGGCAGGGAGAGGGGATTTCGGGGGGGCAAAGGGGGAGAGGAGAGGTGAGGGGGGGGGGTTGGAGCGGTGTGGAAACCACCATGATTTGTTGTAAAGCTCGGTTCAGATGCAGATCAGCCCTGAGAGTCAGACGGGGATGTGTGTGTGGTGGGGGGGGGCTCTTGGGGTGTGGGGGTTAGGGAGGGTGAGGGGTGGGGCCTGTGGGGGTGGGGGCTCTGGGGTGCATCTGTTGGTGTTGGGATGGAGAAGGTCTGTGTGTTTGGGGGTTTGCGGGGGACGAGCTCTGAGGCTCTGTGTGAGTGAAGCTCAGTCCCCTCCGGGGGAACCAGGGTGGGTGGCATTGCGGGGGGCATGGCCGGGGGGCGGTTGATCTGGGAGTACGTGAAGGGTCTAGGCTGGTGGAAGCAGCTTCCGGAAGGTTCTCCAGTGCGCTGGTTGATCAGGATGTCCACCAGCAGGTCGGTGGCTGTGATCTGTGACGGCTCCTCAAAGCCGATGGTGATGAGCAGCTGGTAGTCAGCGCGAGGCTGTTTGTACAGGAACCTGCGGAGGACGTCAAACAACCACACACTGACACACACACACACACACTGACACACATACACACACATAGACACACACACACTGAGCCGGGCTCACACAAAGACACTGACACACACACACAGAGCTGGGCTCACACACACACACTGACCATGGGCTGACACTCACCAGCATAGCAGGTCGATCTCTCCTGGGGACGGTTCCACCTGGACCCAGCGTCCGATGGACCACAATCGCCGGGTTTTGCCGGTGCCGTTGGCTGGTTTGGAGCTGGGCTGGTTCCCGGGGTCGGTCACCTCACCAGCCTCTTTATAGCAAAGGAAATAACTGTAACAGAGCAGAGAGCGCAAGACTGTGGCCGACCGGCACCGAGGAAAACACACCCAGAGCAGTGCACCCAGCTCTGCTCCCTGTGACCAGGTAAACACAGGCGCGTGTGAGTGAGTGTGTGTGTGAGTGTGTGTGTGTGTGTTAAATGTACATGGGTGTGAGTGAGTGTGCATGTGTGTGAATAAGTGTGTAAGAACGAGTGTGTGAGTAAGTGTGTGAGAGTGAGTGTGTGAGAGTGAGTGTAAGCAATCGGTTGGACCGCGTTTCACCCACAAAACGTAGTCACTTCACTTTACAGTGCGTGATGGGAGGGGCTTTGAGATGACTCAAAGACGTGATAAGGCGCTGGGTCAAATGCTAGGATGATTATTATTATTATAAGCAGGGGTGGGTGGGTGGGTGGGTGGGTGAGTGCGTGCGAGTGACTGGTGTTTGGGGGCACAGGCGGCCAGGACGCACTTACTATTCTGTGCACGTCTGGTTCAGGTCCCCGAAGGAGGATCCCTGGTTGATGTCGACGTTCCAACGGATCTTTTTGAAGAGCAGCCGGGGCTGTCTGGCCGCTGTGTAGGGCACCGGCATACAGTACCGGAAGATAGAAATGTGCAGCCACTGCCGGAGCCGGAACTCTCCTCGGTAAAAATAGCAGATACTGAGGGAGGGAAGGGATCAAAAGATAACATCGGCCCGGCTCAGTGATCGCGCCCTCTCTCCCTCTCTCGCCTCCCAGTCATAAGGTTCTGAGTTCCAGTCCCCAAACCGTCAGGAATTGGGATCACACAGTCCAGGCTGACGCTGCAGAGCTGGAGGGAACGCCACATTCTCGGAGATGCCCCCGTCCTTGGGATGAGATGAGACATTAAACCTCACTCCCACCCGTCTGTGCCCTGTTCAAGTGGATGTTAAAGATCCCTGTTGGAAAAGAAAGGAGTTTCTCTCTCCACCCCCCTCCCCCCACCCCCACCCACCCCACCCCCGGTGTCCTGGCCGACAATCTCCCAAATAAGTCGCGTACTCCGCGACTATTGGTGGGGACGTCGCTGGGCCCAATTGGCTGCAGCGCTTCACCCACAAAACGCACAGTATATCCCGTGAAGCGTTTCCAAACGTCTCAACGACATGATAAGGCGCTGTATCAAATGCAAGGATTATTATTATAATTATTATTCTGTGATGTGTTCACACACTGAACTTCCACAAATACAGTCACTACACTTTACAATAAAATCCTGTGAAGTGTTTTGAAGCGTCTCAGCGACGTGATAAGGTGCTGGATCTAGTGCAAGGCTTATTGTTATAACTGAGAAACGGCCCAGGTAACACTTAACACACACACACACACATATATACACACACACATGCACGCACACATACAAAGGCACACAAACAGCGCTCGGAAATGACTGCAACACGAGAGGCCTTGGGACGAAGAAGGCTCTTTGGTCAACTCGATCTCTGTCATCCTTCCCGCCCCCCCTGTGAGTGAAGGAGGGAGGAAAGGAAAGAGGGAACGAGAGAGGGAGCTACCTGCATGGGTCGGTCTCCTCCAGGGAGATGAAGCCGAAGGAAGCGTACATCAACACCAACTGCTCCAGGCTGGACGCCAACTGCTGGGAAAACTGCAAAAGCTGGGAATAAAACAATAACATAAAAATAAACAGAGAGAGTGACAGGGAGACACACAGAGAGAAAGATAGCCAGAGAGACACAGGGAGAGAGTGACAGGCAGACACAGAGAGTAAGAGGAAGAGAGAGAGAGAATTCAGCAAGGGGAGCGGGTGGGCGGAGTAAAGAAAGAGAGTGAATCAGTAAAAAATTACTGAAAATCATGAACACAACCAAGGTTACATCTCTCCTGCCCCACACTCTCCCTTTCACCTCCAGGCTCAGCCCCACTGCCTGAAACACAGTGTACGATGGGAAGTGGGATCTGACTTTGACTCATTTTATCAATGTCTCTGTTCTTGGTCAGTCGGACACGAGTGCTGAAGAGTCTCCAAATCAAGCTGAGGTTTCCATCCATCCCAACACATGGCTGGCAGATTGTCGGAATGGAACACTCACTCTCTCTCTCTGGAGGAACGCATCTTGCTTACCTAATTCCAGAGAGTATTAGGTGCAGGTTGGCAAGAACCAAGGCTTGGGGGGAGCCCAGAGTGTGTATTGGAGTAACTGCTGGAGTCACCAGCTAAAGCCACATAGCTTGCCCTTTGAGAGAAGAGAGAGAGAGAGAGAGAGCGCTGTCTGGCCAATCTTTCCCACTGCTTGTCCTAGAACTACCCTACCCATCAGGGCTTTGGCTTGCAGGGTTAACAGGAGCTGAATGGGAATGTCTCCCAGGTAGAAACGGGGAACAATCTCAGGATCGTCAGAAGGAAAACTAGGGAAAGTTTGGGAGGAATTTCTCAATTTGGAGGGTTAGGAATTCATTACACATGAGGCTGGGTTAATAAATACAATAAATCACAAGGGAATTGGAGTCTAGTAAAGTAATCACAATCTCTCGAGAGTAGATGCCAAAGCCAGTCCTCCCTGCGCTCTCTCTGTCTCTCTACTCTGTCTCTCCTTCTCAGTCTATCTCGAGGTCTTGTCCCTCAGACCTACCCGTTTCTGGATGTACTCAGGGAGCGGTTTTCTGTCCGAGTGTGCACTGCGGGCTGTGGACTCCAGGTAGGCAAAATACGGCTGGCAGGTCTTCACAAAGATCGGCACAGCTCGGGCAAACTCCTCGTTGTGGATCCGGTCTCTGCTACAGGAGGCAACAAATCACACAACAACAACAACAAATTACACTTGCACAGCGCCCTTCACGTCGGGAAGACGTCCCAGGGCCCTGGACCGTCATGGAACACAGAGAGCAAGCCACACCCCATCGCAGCTCCCCCCACAGCGAGGTGTGGTGGCCACAGGGCAGCGCTGTGTGCAAGGCGCTGTGTGCTTACCTGTAGACCAGGTGCGTCTGGAACTCCTCCGCCTTCTTCAGCAGGTATTGTAGCTGCTGCTCGATTGGCTGCAGCTTCTCCTCCATCAGCGTCACATCGTACTGAGCCGGGGGCTCGCCCCCACCCACGCCAGGCTCTGCCTTGTCCTTGTGCAGCTGGGGGAAGGGCTCAGGGCTGACGAGTGGGGAGGGGGGCTGGGGGGCTGGCGAGCTCAGGTAGGGGGAGACGGAGACAAACAGCTGCTCCCCCATGTCCAGCCCCCCCAGCGAAGCCAGCTCAGGCTCCGGCCAGTGTCCGCGCTTCAGCTCTGCCCCGAGACCCTCCAGCGAGCAGCCCGGACGTTTCTGCTTCTCCTTCCTCTTCTGTGAAGCTGGGCAACAGGCCGGATCCACAGCTTCGCACTCCTCCATTCTACACACAAAGACAAACACTCAACACGCGCCCCCTCATGCAGTGTAACGTCCCAGAGCGCTTCAACCACAATAAACAATCCTTGCATTTCGTAAAGCTGCTGCTTTGCGCCCATAAAATAGTCAATAATTCACTTTACAGTGTATCCTGGGAAGCGCTTTGAGACGTCTCAATGATGTGAAAAGGCGCTATATCAAATGCAAGGATTATTATTATTATTAATGATGTGCATCCCTCTCACAGTCTTACCTGGGATTGCCTGGGATATCTAGCTCCAGGTGAAGTTTCCATAAAAAAAATACTTTGGGGCATTCCCCATCAAGTTAGGGGTGGGGGGTGGCTGTGGGTGAGGGGAATGATCTGAGGTTTCAGGAGTTGAGGTGTGAAGAGTTGAGGTTGAGTTCCTGAGGGTTGAAGAGTTGAGTTTTGATGGGCTGAGGGTTTCTGGGGCTATCTCGTTTATAGGTTTGAGGTTGAGTTCCTGAGGGTTGAGTGGCTGAGGTTTAAGTTCCTGAGGTTTGACAAGGTTGAGTTGAGTGGCTGAGGGTTGAGTGGCTGAGGGTTGGGTTGTGAGGGTTGAGTGGCTGAGGGTTGGGTTGTGAGGGTTGAGTGGCTGAGGGTGGATGAGGGTTGAGTGGCTGAGGGTGGATGAGGGTTGAGTGGCTGAGGGTTGGGTTGTGAGGGTTGAGTGGCTGAGGGTTGGGTTGTGAGGGTTGAGTGGCTGAGGGTTGGGTTGTGAGGTGCTGAGGTGGGAGGAGCCTTTGATGCTGATGATCACTGCGCATGTGCTGCAATCACATGTTCAAATATCAACACATGTCTCTGAGCGTCTCCCAGCAACCGGGTCACATGGTCTCCACAGCCCCGCCCACAAACCACCAAACTCCTTTCAGCATTGAGAGGGGGAGCATTGGGGTTATGTTTGGGTTTAGGATTGGGGGGGGAAGAGCATTGGGGTTAGGTTTGGGGAGAGCATTGGGGTTAGATGGGGGGGGAGAGCATTGGGGTTAGGTTTGGGGTTAGGATGGGGGGGAGAGAGCATTAGGGTTAGGTTTGGGGTTAGGATTGGGTGGGGGGAGAGCATTGGGGTTAGGTTTGTGGTGTCAATCATTGGGAGGAAGATTGGGTTTGGGATTGAGGGATTCCTGGATGATGAGGACAACCACAAAGTTCACAGCAAATCACCTCCTCTGTTGACACCCTCCCCATTACCCTCTTTCCTCACCTCAGATTCCAAATTTCCAGTGGTGGACTTCCTTGTGACCAAAATCGCTGTGAACAATGTGGGGACCATGTTTCCCTAAAACATAAACAAGGCAACTATATTGGCAATTAGAAGAATGCTCCCTGGGAGTTTTTGACCTGTAAAGACTAACCTTCCCTTGTCAAACACATGAATAGAAGCCAACGAGCGGCAGAAATGTGTCAGCGATTAAAAACTGCTGGCTCAGCAATCCTGCCATGGTACTGGAGGTTTAATGTGCTTTGTTTCCCATTCTTGATGGTCAGTAATGCGGAATACACCCATTCCCCTTTTTTTGTTTGGTTATTTTAATGCTGAATGCAATTTCAGAGTTAAACCCAGAGGACAATTGGAAATGTTTGATTGCACATTACCAACGGGTAAACTTCACCCGTGGGAGAAATACCAGAGAAAATAAAAATCACATCAGGCATGAGAGTGCGGTGACAAAGGGAAGGCAGACCATTCTTTGTGGCTGTAAACTACAAAGAAAGAGTATTTGCTCAGTCAAAGAAACACTAAGTGTTGAATTACGGCCTGTGAGAAAACACAGCAAATACCTCACATTGAGATATGCCAGGACCTGCTTCCTCAGTCTACATTGTAAATGATTAAACAATAATATAATATATAATATATAATAGTAATCCATGCATTTGATATAGCAGCTTAGTATATCTTCAAGATGTCTCAAAGCGCTTCACAGACGATATTGTAAAGTGTAGAGCCTGTGTATTTTGTGGGTGTAATGATTGGATTCATAACAGGGCAGGTAGTTACATTTTCAGATGATGCCAAGCTGGTGAGGAACTATGCAATCAGTTTGATGGGGTGGGTGTGCATCCCTGCTGGTCAGTGGCAAATAAGGCAAAGAAATCTGAAACACTGCATATAGGACAGATTGGTGGTGGTTGGAATTCTTGGCCATAAACCATAATTGAACAAAATCCATGAATTGGTTTAAAAGAGAGTTAGATAGCTGCTCGATAAAGGAAAATATTAAGGTACAGGAGAGTGGGGAGTAAGTAGCTCAGGGAACAAAATACCAACTGCATTTGCCTCCAAAGCGTAATGACATGACTGTAATTACTGTAAGAAGCTTTGACACTAAAACATGCACACCAGAAATGCAGAACTTTTGCACCTGAGGATGCACTGCAGTATACTTTCTGTGGCCACAGTACAGATAGATTTCATATTCAAAAATGGAAAAGAAGTCTGATTTATTGTTCTTCATTGGGCTACATAACCAGTGTATCTACACAAGCAGTCTACACATCGGAGAGAAGCTATACATCACACAGCTGCTCTTAACACATCGATTTGTATGTTCAGCTCTTGAAGCCAGTGATGACGTAATGGGGTATTGTTCGGAAGGCTGGTCCAGGCCATTTCATTCCCATTTTGGAATATTCTCAATTTTACGGCAATGACACGGCTGTGCTACAGCCAAGAAAGTGTCAAAAATAAGCCAAACACATTCCTGTTGATGTAAATCAAATGCACCAGCACGTAGCAAGCCGATCACCCCTATTCTCACTTAACTCCACTGGCTCTCCATCTCTCAGTGGATTGAGTTCAAGATCCTCATCCTAACCTTTAATCCCTCTATGATCTACCTTTGCCACCTCCTCAAACCCTACCAACCAACCTGCTCCCTTCACTCTGCAGATCGACACCAGCCTGCTTCACATCTCCACCTCATCATCGGCGGTCAGGCTTTCAACCTATCAGCCCTTCAACTCTCTAAATCTCCAACCCAGAGACCCTTTGACTCACCCGTTCTCTCACCTCAAGACCTAGCTCTCATTAACTGCACTTTCAGCCATCTTCCCTCCTCCACCCACGTCCAAGTTCAGGTGCAAACCCTCAACTATCTGGCGATTCGAGACATCCTCCCGACATGAAAGGCATTGTATAAAAATGAAGCTGTATTGTACCAGCAACACACAGTCATCGAGGCTCCCAATTCATTGGCTGGACACTGTGAATACCAAGGCTGGCTAGTTTAGCTTGCACTGAGGCACCGCAGGTGGCGGTGGAAGTTGCCAATCCTAAGGGAAGGGTGTTCAAGGTCATACTGAAAGCTCTTTGTCGGTGAGGATTTTTTGAGGTGATCAAGGGTTTGGACACTGGAACTTAAGCAGTTGGGTCACAGAACCAGTGATGAAAGCAGCTCCTCAGTCCAACGGAGAACTCCAAACCACTGGCCGTTTACATCTGTTGAGTTTGTAGCTGTTTAATAAACATGGCAGAGGCTGGTTAACAGGTACACCTCACTTACTTTGCAGCAAGCTGTAGCACATGTAGAATACTATACAGCATTCATTTGAGGAAAAATCACTGTGTAGAATTATGGAGGTTAAGCTCAGTTTGGTCTGTCTCCATGATACATCTTACGTAGCCAGTGACAAGGTTACATGGTTTGACATGAGTCACTTTGAGTCTCCGGCCCTCCATCCAACTCGCTCCCTCCCTCACCTTGTTCAAGGTCCAATGCAAGACCTTTGAGACGGACTTGAATAAGGTGAGGGAGGGAGCGAGGCAGCCGGATGGAGTTCCAGAGAACTCTTGTCCATACTTCTGGGCATCCTTCCGCTCCTCAGCTCCCACCCCCAACTGTGGGGAGCGGCCAGGACTGGCCAGAACCTTGGGATGTCCTCCCAACGTGAGAGGCGCTGTGTAAATGCAATTTGTTGTTGTTGTAACATTCCTCGTACGTGAAAGGTCTTATAATAAATGCAAGTTATTGCCACAATTCCGCTGTTAAGTCAAACCATCACAAAAAGGTGTGTGTGTAGAGGGGGGTAGAGAATGAGTGATTATGACTGGGGAAACAGGCAGTAGGTGAGGGATCTGCAGCTGTGCATAAAGATCCATTTTGTTGAGTGTAGACGGGGAGCAGGGGGGGAGAGTCAGACAGTAACTTACCTCCTGTCGCCCAGACCCAGGCCCTCCCCAGAACCTGCTGGTGCCTGTGATCTGGGAGCCTGGCGTGTAAGTGGCAACGTCATGGTCCTAACATCCGCAGGCCCTTTGACAATTTCTTCCCCCTCCCTTCCCTCTCATCATCACTACCTGAACAGCAGTGCAAACCCCAACAAAACTGCCTGACACAATGGAGAAGGGAATAGAGGATACAGGGATACAGGTGAGGGGGGGAGGGGGCAAGGTTTATATGCAGCATTAAACACTGGAATAAACTAGTTGAGCAGAATGGCCTGTGCCTTTGTGAACTATGATATCTCCAGTCCTTCACTGCTGTTATTTTGGTGTCAGTCAATTGGGTAAAAAAAACTTGCAAACACCCTACAACAACAACATGACATTTACACAGCGCCTTTCACAGTGTCAGGAGGAGGTCCCAAGGCCCTGGACAGTCAGGGATTTAGACCCAAGCTGGGTGTTGGGATCAGGAGGGGTGGTCGGAGGCTGGCCCAATGCCCCATAGAAGAGGAGGCTCTTGAGACGTGCTTTGAAGGAGGCAAGGGAGGAGGCAAGAGGAAGGGATTGGGGGATGAAGTTCCTACACACTATAATATCTCATGCCATGTGGAAGCAGCGGAATAAGGGAGTCGCATGGTGGTGAGTATCTGAAGCCCAGCTCCTCTCACCACACCGAACATTACAATGCTCATCCCTGGGTGTGGATGGCCAGGTTAGCCCAGCCCAAACCACAGAGAAACATGAGAGCAGGCGTAGCTCAACTCCCACTCCCACATGGAATTGGGAGAGAAACTCACCACTTCATAGTAACATTAAAAAAAATGATCAGAATTCACAGAGGTCAAAGCATCTTATTCATACACACACACAGTCCCTGGATAGGGGGTCAACCCAGCTCATTCTCTATAACATGTACGGATTAATTATTCACACATCGAGTTCCTGGTCGGGGAGAGAGGGGGGGGGGGTTGGGGGGGAGGCACATTAGTTAGTACGTCAATAGCTACTTTACAATTTTTTTTCTCTTTTTAAAAAATACAACTTTCCATGATTTAAAAAAAAATAAGTTTAAGTTTTCCTAATCACATTCAGTTACTGTAGCCGACTTGGCGAGCTCCACCTCCCCACCCCCGAAAGGCTGGACAAGACACAACCTCGTGGATTTCTGGGTTACAGCAGCGTTTTGAGTGGATGGTGGGGGGGAGGGGGGGGGGTTTGGTTATGGTTATCCAGCTCACCATCCTCTCCCCCCGTCTTCCTTCATTGTATTCCTTCTGTCCACTCTCACCCTACCCTCAGAGACTCAGCTCAGTTGGGGGCCAAATTCAAAACTCACTATACTTCCTGGAGCTCAGTGGTTAAAGCACTAAAGCAGTGGTTAAAGTAAGCGAGAGGACCTGGGTTCGATTCCCGGCCGGGTAGGGCGAAATGTTGGGCAAGTTTCCTTAATCCACATGCCTGTTTACCAGTAATCAGTAGGAACTGATTGGCGGATCGCTTTCCGGGGGTAATAATTCCCTCAAAAAAAATAATTGGTCACTTCAATCCACGGCTGTTTGTGGGACACTGCTGTGTGCCATTGGCTGCCGTGTTTCTCCCACAAAATATACAGTTACAGTATCAAAAACTGAAGTCGCTGGGAACACTCAGCAGGTCAGGCAGCATCTATGGAGAAAGTGAGTCAACGTTAGGCGAAACATTGGGCCAGTTTCCTTACTCACTTTATAGTATATCTTGTGAAGCGCTTTGAGACACCTCGAAGACATGATAAGGCGTTGTATCAAATGCCAGGATTATTATTATTATTACTTCAACACAAGGTGGACAGTCCAGCGGACAAGCTCGGAGGACCTTTGCAATGCACAAAAATCTAACAGGTTCGAGGGGACTGAAGCTAACAGCAGGAAATCCTTCATCACCTTCAAGTGGAAATGATGTCTTTTATGATTCTGTGTGGAATGATTTTTTTGGGGGGGTGNAAAAAAAGGTCTGGAATAATTCTCTGGGAGCAAGAAAAAACAGGAATAAAAAGTCTTGAAGCTTAAAAAAAAGCACGTACACTAGGAGTGAAGGAAAAAGCCATCTCCTCTCCCTTACTCCTAGCCAGACACGTTACAGTTAATGGTACGATACACTGCGTGGAGCAACATTAGGTCTTTCTGATGCCAAGGCTAAAAAAAAGTAGAATATTTATGCCAATCTATTTATAGCAATCGAGTGATCTGAGTGTTAAATATACAGCTAGAACCCCTAGTGCTGCCGTTCGCACCTCAGTCAGAAGCCACGGGCGTTCAGGAATATTTACACCCAAACAGGACCACAACATGGATTTCACAGTTGTGACTTGGGAGCGTTTGTGTCTGGTGACGACATGTTATATGTAAACAAGACGGGGACGGGGGAGGGGGCTGAGCTTCAGTCGTGTAGTCAGCGATTTCAGCACTTCTCAACCTGTGATTTGAATAAGATCTTAAACACGATTGTAAGTTTGTAAAATCCCAACGACGATGATTATAGGAGGGAGGTCACATTACAGCCGCTGTCACAGTCAGTCAATCACTCACTGGTGAGCAATACATAGCCCGGGATCAGCACCCAGCACAGAGAGGAGAGAAATAAAAAGCCTGGAAGTTACGTCCTCATCCTCTCCGCTAGTCTTCAATACTCACATCATAACTAGTCTAAAGCCTGCGGTGATTAATGTAACAGCCCAATGGCCAGCCCATAGGAAGCAGCAGTGGCATTCCTTCAATTCTATTGGATCATGGTTAAGTTTCACACAAGACACTGTGACTCTTTCTCTATCGCTCTCTCTGTATCTCTTCGCTGATGAAGAATTGCCCATCATAGTCTGACTCGCAGCCCAGATTGGTGGAGACCCACATGGGTCTACAGTAGATCACAGTCTTGGTTTAGCAAAAGGAATGTCAGAGCTTAAAAAGTAAATATGATCAAAAATATATATATATATATATAAATAAAACAAACTTTTGTGTTTTTCTTTTAAAAAGGCTAAGAGGAATTGCATTGCATCTCGGAAGCCTTGGTCCCACGTACAACCCACTAGCCATAAGGTTCGGATGTGGAGAGTGTTGAACCAGGGGTGAGAGTCGCTGTGGGCTGGCAGTGCTCAGCAGGTTAAGGTGTTGGACATTAACAATCGTCAGAGACGTAGTCGAACTCCTTGAACATGTTCTGATCTTTCTGGGAGAGGACCCTGGGCTCTCTCGGGGGCGTCAGGTCTGGCTCCTCTGCTGTGAATTCCTCGTCAAAGTTGCTGACATCCTCTCGGTTTCTGATGGTGGGGACGAAGGGAGGCTTGACCTTTTTGCTGAGCAGCCCTTCCCAATCGATCTCCTGAAAATATCAAAGTTCTTAATAAACACAACTAATTCACACGGGCTTTCAAAAAGAAATTCAGAGAGAGAGACTCAGAGTGAGAGACACTCAGAAAGAGAGAGACAGAGACAGACAGAGAGATAGAGAGAGACTCAGAGAGAGGAGAGAGACGGACTTACCCTGAAGAACGGCTGTTTCTTCACTTCTTCAGCATCTCGCTCACTGGATCCCAGGCGACGCTCAGGGTTCCTCCTCAGCAGCTGGTGACCAACAGAGAGAGAAACTTCAATACGTCAAGTTTAAACCATTCCCAATATCAATACACATGCTTCCTATTTCCCTCCCACCCCCACCCGCCAAACTCCCCTCCCCCACACCCTCAAAAGATTTAGTTGGTGGCATTGTAAAGTGAATTGACTGTATATTTTGTGGGCGAAACGCAGCAGCCAATTGCGCACAGCAGTGTCCTACCAAACAGTCATGGATCGGGTGACCAAATTATTAGTATTATTTTTGGAAGGGATTATTACACCCAGAGAAGCGATCCGCCAATCGACTAACAGCCGGGTTCCTACTTACTATTGGGTAAACAGAGATGTGTGTGTGTGGAGTAAGGAAACTTGCCCAACGTTTTGTGCTGACCCGCCCTGTCAGGAATTGAACCCGGGCCCTCTCGTTTTCGAGGTGAGTGTTCTGATCACTGAGTTACAGGACTCCACATGCTCTAATTGTACAGATCGCTTACCCTCCTCATGACAGCGATGGCCTCAGTGGACAGGAAGCGAGGGTAACGGACCTCGTCATTGACGATACTGTCAAACACTTCTTCCTCATCATCCCCAGGGAACGGTGACTGTAACACAAGAGCTAGAGCTTTGAGTGATGATCTCAGCGCTGTGTGAACACACCTCCACAGCCTTTTACATTGTTCTTCCCCAACCCAGCGACACACACACAGTGTTACATCCCCGGGAGCAAAAGCATTTGTTTAACGACCAGCTAGCCAGACACTCTGCACTGATTTTGATTGATTTGATCGCCTGCAGTGACTGGCGGGCGGGGGTGGGGGGGGGGGGGCTGGTCATTATAATGCTGCATTCATTATCATTATACCATGGCTGCTCCACAAATAAAGTGCTGGCTGTGACCCTGAGAGATAGACAGCCCGACAGACAGACAGGCATAGACAGACAGGCACAGATAGACAGGCACACAGACACACACGGGCACAGACAGGCAAACAGACACATATGTCACAGTCAGGCAGATGGACCCAGACAGACACAGACAGACAGACACACAGGCACAGACAATCAGACACACATTCTTAAAGGCTGGAATTTGACAGCTGATGTAGTTCCAAACACAGCTGCAGAATGGGCTGGAGATGTAGCCCCGAGTGATGAGGAGAGAGGGACAGAGCAACACAATGCTTCAGATATTAAGAAGAGCCTGCAGTTTTACAGTCCCTGTACGGTGTAGCCTCTCTAAGTGTTTGATAGTAATTCTTGTAGTGAGTTATGGTAAACACACAGCGAGGTGCAGTACTGTGAACTACAGGGAATGTTGGTCACGATGGCAACGATATCTCTTTTCAAATCATGTCTTCACATTTTCAACATCTGCCCAAACAGTCAAACTGGCAATTATAATGTTGTTGTTGTTATCACAGCGAGAGGATTGGTAGGTGGGAGGGAGGTTAAAGCGCAGAGGGACACAGAGCCAGTTCAAATGAATCACTTCCCTTTACATTCTGTGCTGAAATTTCTGTTTCTGTCTCAGAAAGCAGCAGCTGAACTTCGCAACTGTTGGGTTCACAGGGACTATAAATACCCACCTCCCAGCTTACAGCAACAGTATTTATACAGCAACGCTCCCACTGAGAGAAAATGAGGCAATTGCCAACATGGCAGGAACCCCCATCCAACAACAACTTGCATTTATATAGCGCCCTTCACGCGGGACGCGTCCCAGAGCGCTTAAGGAAGGATTAAGGAATCCCTGTGGATTAAGGAAGGACACTGACCTCTCCCACCAGCATCTCATAAATCAGCACTCCCAGCCCCCACCAGTCCACTGCCCGTGTGTACGAAGTGTCCGTCAGAACCTCCGGAGCCAGGAATTCGGGAGTGCCGCAGAAAGTGCTCGTCCGGTCTCCGAACCCCATTCCTGGAATAATAAAGGCAGGTGGTCAGGACTCTTGGAAGACAAAATCAACCAATTAATTGTGTACAACTTCCAACACATTTGTGTCATGCAATGAGAGACGCTGTTTGTTCACTTTGGAAGTTGAGTGTATTAAATAATGTACTAAATAATGTATTAAATAATCCCTGGCATTGACATACTGCCAAGTGTTACTGACACCTCAAAGTTTTTACAGGATTTTTACTTTAAAGTGCGGTGACTATCTATTTTGAGTTGGCCAACTCGCCAGCTAATTAGCTCCCTTCCGTTTCCATCTGGTTTGGCCTTGGTTTACCATCTCATCCAAAGCACAGTATCTCTGACTAGATTGGCCTGAACAGGAAAACCTGCAATTATAACAGATACACTGGACTGCCATCCCGGAGCTCGAGTTCAAACCTCATGAGGCTAGAACCTACAATCTACCTGACTTACAGGCAACTTGAGCCAGCCCACCACACAGAAAGCATTCTACATCACACCAAGAGTTGTGAGAAGATAAGAATAATAATCCTTGCATTTGATAAAAGCGCCTCATCACGTTTTTGAGACGTCTCAAAGCGCTTACACAGAATATACTGTAAAGTGAATTGACTGTACACTTGTGGGCAAATCGATGATTCAGAAAGCTCCTAACAGAAGTTAGAAAAATTCTAAATGAGATTGAGAAAGTAAACCCAGAACAATAGTACGCATCAAGACAATAGGACAGGAATCATTTCTTTACCCAGAGAATAATTAACGACTGGAGCAGGTTGTCAGGAAGGTAGTTGAGACCAAGAGACTGGGCTCTTTTAAGAAGTAGTTTGATGCTGTGATGGTGGAACAGTGGGTGGGTGGAGGGACATGTACACATGGACTGAGAGGCCTAACACATCTTGTGATCGTGCGAACAGGAATTGGCTGCTTTAAGATCAAATAAGGGCAGTCCGTCATTTTCTACCGCCTTCATACCGAACCCTGCCACATTAGCTTTTAATTCAGGGAAATAATAAAATAAGTCTCGTCGTTAATAGGTCTGACACAAAAGCTGCATTGCAGCTAAATTATTGTGACTTGGTTTAAAGATAATAACTGCGGTGTTACACAATAGTCAGCAGGTGGCAGCAAGTGACAGAGATCTGAGCTGGAGCCGATGTTCTTGTCGTTGAGTGGGAGAATGCTGTAGGAATGAACAATAATAACAATGATAAGCCATGAGTCACCCTGCAGTGCACCTGGTTGAAGGTAATGCTCGCACTAGCCTTCAGCAGTTCAATGGACGGGTTGAAAGAAAGCGGATTCCTAGCTATCCACTATCCTAGCCTACGCGACTGAATGTCCCCTCACCCTAGCAACAAGTCCAAAATACTGGTCTCAACCACCTTCTCTGGAAACTCATTCAGGTATTAACAACCCTCTGGGAAAAGACGCATTTCCTGGTGTCTGCCTGTCGCGTTCCCCCACAAATACACAGTCACTGCACTCCACTGTTTGCAGTGAAGCGGTTTGGGATATCCTGCTGATGTGAAAGGCGCTATGTTAAATCCAAGGATGGATTATATATTATTAGTTAATGTAGTGGACTGTAATGTTAAGACAAACAATGGGAAAGGCTAGATTGTGAGTTTCTATAAAGCAACACAACAATAAACCCAGCAGAGCAACACAGCCAACATCACCCACCTTCCTTACACAGCCCGAAATCAGCAATCTTCACATAACCATCAATGTCCAGCAGTAAGTTATCTAACTTCAGGTCCCTGTGGGCACAGCACAGGAGAGACGTGCACAATCATCATCAACGGGAGAATCAACATCGTGTGATTACGCGGAGCCTCTCAAATAAAAACATCTCAAAACTCTTTACAGAATGAGCTGAATCACAAATACAGTCAACGTCAGGGGTAAAGACGACAGGGGTCTAGATGACAGGGGTCAATGTAACAGCACCAGGGGAGAGAGGCCTCAGACCGGCACACTGAATAGTTTGTTTGTTGGAAGAGAGAAAGAAATCTTTACCTGTAGACAATCTTGTTATCGTGAAGGAACTGCAGGCCGAGAACCACACACGCAGAGTAAAACCTGCCAAGGGGTGTGGGGGTTGGGGGGGGAAAAGAAAAGGGATTTGCAGATTGTTACAGATCTAGAATCTGGGTAGAAACCACACAAAGCCACGTTTGGAATATACTGTAAAGTGGAGTGACTGTGTACTTTTAGGGCGAAATGCGGCAGCCGATTTCGTACAGTAGTGTCCCCACAAACAGTCAAGGATCGAGTGAAGAGGCAGACAGGGCTGCGATTCTGCATCTCACCCAAACACTAGAGCCTCTGATATTCAGACCTCACCTCAGAGCCCAAAGGACCCACTGCCTCCTGAGCCAAGCTCAACAGGTAGGAGTGACAAAGCAATGCCTTAAACTCGTTGACCTCGACATAAAGGTTGAAGAGCAGGTAAACAGTTTGAGGAGAACTACTTACACGGCTCGGGGCTCTGAGAAGACGTCAGCGTGAATGTGCATCATCAGGTCGCCCCCAGCTGTGTATTCCATCACAAAACACACGTGCTCTGGGGTCTGGAAGCACGCAAAGAGATTCACCAGGAACGGGTGATTGGAGGTGTTGACGGTCTCGAAGATCCGCTTCTCACACATCAGGCTGCCAGGGAAACAGACAGACAGATAAACAGAGCCATTCAGAGCAGCAAAATGACTAGCCTGTCACTGAGCACCAGTGACCAGGGCAGAAACCATTTCACACTGACTGTTAACACATTCCAGGCTGTGTCAGAGATCTCATAGAAACAGGAGTAGGCTATTCAGCCCCTCGAGCCTATACTGCCATTTCATGTGATCATGGCTGAACTGTACCTCAAGGCCACTTACCCGTCTTTGCCCCGTATCCCTTAACACCCTGACCTAACAAATATCTATCATACTGCGCTGCAAGTCATTCCTGCCTGTGTAACATTGGCTGACACTACCTATCTCAGCACAGCCAGGCCACTGAGCTTGGGGTTGTTCCTGGTCTGTGTCTCTCAGTAAGGATCTGCCTGGAGCAGTTGCAGTAAGGGACCAATGGAAGGTATGGTCAGGTCAGTAATGTACGTGAAATGGTTACCTGTCAACCTCGTCTCTGGCAACAATATCCCCTTTCTTCAAGGCTTTGATTGCAAATAGTTGTCCTGATTTCCTGTATTCCGACAACAGCACCTGTCACAAGGAAATAGTGCAAAACAGTGCAATTAATTACCATAAGCATAAGTCTCCCTGTGTGACACACACTGCAGTAACAGGCACACTCAACAACTTACTTTCCATTGCAGTCAGGAAAGTGATTCGCCAATCGACTAACAACCAGGTTCCTACTTACTGCTAGGTAAACAGTGTGTGTGTATAGAATAAGGAAACTTGCCCAACGTTTTGCGCTGACTCCCCCAGGAATCAAACCCAGGTCCTCTCACTTGCGAGGCGAGCGCTCTCACCACTGCACTACAGTACTCCAGTCTAGGGGCTTTTACAGCTCACACCCAGCAGTTCAGCTTCGCATCTCAAATCGAGAGTATATTTGAGTCTTAGCCCTTGGTGAGGATTGATGTTGAGATGTGGTTTGGGGAAGTGACTGGCAAGCTCACCTTGCCAAAGTGCCCCCGGCCGAGCACCGCGATAAGCTTGAAATCCTGCAGAGTCAGTGAGGGCTTCAGCTGTGTGCTGGGGAGAGGACATGCAGATCATCATCATCAATAATAATAATAATCATCATCCTCACACTGTTATCATTATAGCGGCTTTGACATCGGGAGGACTTGACAATGTGCCTTGCAGGATACACAGCGAAGTTTAGTGACGGTGCGTCCCGCAGACAAACTGTCCTTCATCCCCCACATCCGTGCCACGACCCGCAACATCACCCGGTTCACCACCGTCTCTCACCCCAGGCTGCCGAGGCTCTCATCCAAGCATTCACCACATCCAGGCTTGACTACGCAAACTCCCTGCTTGTCGGCCTCCCCGACTCCTCCCTCCGCAGGTTGCAGATCATTCAGAACTCTGCAGCTCATGTCCTCTCCTGCACCAGGCTCCGCGACCCTATCACCCCCATCCTTGCCCGACTCCACTGGCTCCTCATCATTCAAAGGATACAGTTCAAGATCCTGGTACTCACCTTCAAAGCCCCTATACGGCCTTGCTCCTCCCTACCCGTGACCTCCTAACTCCCTACTAACCTGTCCGCTCCTCCACTTAGCGGACCCATACCCACACGCAATACACACACACAAACACTCTTACATTATAGACATCATTGGAGAGTTCTGGTGCGGCTCTGAAGCAGGAATCTCTCGCTATAAGAACATATTCTTCATAACAATTTATTCCCACTCGATTTCTAGGCAGAGTTGAATAAAGACAGCGCTGCCTCCAGATCTCTGACAGCAGACAGAGCGAGAAATTTACCTGTCCCGATCTCCGTCTGTGCTAGACACTGACGCGTTCCTCCTCAGGGGAGAGACTACGCCAGTGGGGTCAGTCTGCAAGAGAGAGAGAGAGAAAAAGCTAAGTCTGAAACCAGCACGATTCCATCGTAAACACAGATGAATTTCCTACAGATAAAGTGATAATATTACTAGAGTAGATATTAATAACAGGTAGTTTCCAGCGAGGTCGTATTCCGTTATCTGTGTGATACAATCACTCTCACCTTTCCTACTCCTCAAGGATACAATCACTCACTGTGAATAATTTGAGGAAATTACTATCGCTAGTGTCAAACACATGGAAGGAATCCCACCTTCAAATGGTAACAACAATGTCAGCGAGATCTTCATTCTAACTAAATCCTTCACCTCAATCAGTCGTTTCCCCCAATGGCTCTGCCGAGGGCACAGCTGGTACTAAACAGCTGCTGAGTTGGCCTGCACAGGCAATACCTCAGGAAACTCTTAGACATTTTGATCCAATCAAGTGCTATAAAATTGCAAGTTATTTGTTCTAACTAAAAGCAAGAACCAGAATTCACAGGCGCAGTTCTTTTCTGCTTTGTAACATCCATTCGATATTTTTCTCGGCTTTCCCAGCCTTCTGGCCTCATACATGTCGACTGCACACGACAACAATCTATGGGAATATTTCCTGGCGCACACCACACCACAAATACACACACCCCAAATAGATTCATTGCAGCCCCCAGGAAAGTACTCAGCCACATGTTGGGACACTATTGGTGCAGTGAAGACTGGGTCTGGCTCATCTTCATCTCCACAGCCACCCCAAAGACTTTTTTTTAATATAAAGTGCATTTTATCGATAATAAAATATATATAGTACCTTTCGAGAACATCTCAAAAATAGTAACATTAGATCCGATAGAGAAGATTCCAGACTAGAGCTAGATAGATAGAGAAGATACAAGACTATGAAAGCAAGATAGCCAAAAGGTGTGTGAATCCACGAATTGAGACAGCTATCTATAGCTCAAGCCATAAGATGGAAGATTCAGCCAAGCAGGAGCCATTTGAACATGGTGAGGAATTCAAACCAGAAAGGAGAGCTGCACAGAGCCAAGAAACAGCCCCGCTGTGACCCAGGTTACCCTATACTAAACTACACATGCAGACTGCAGGTCCTGGTACCCATACCTGTAGCTGCCGGTAACACTGCAGAATGACAGACTGCAGTAGAAAACATCAAGAGGCAGGAGAGAAAACAGCCCATTGGATCAGCACAGTACACAGTGTTTAGTTACATTTACAATAGATTTTTACTTACACTGTACGTAACCAAAGGTCTCGCTCCACTTCATCTAATTTGATAATTGTCTAAAGGCAGACTGAAATTAATTGACGTCGCGCCTTACACACTCAGCCCTGAGTTGCAATGTTACATTTAGCAGGCAATCTAACCGGGTTATTTAACACTCTTCCTCCGCCCCCATCAGAAGTTACAGAGAGCGATTTCTAACCTGTACTTGCTTTTCACCATTCCGGCTTCCCTTCGACTCCAGGGAGGATTTTTGTGGTGTTCCTGAGGACAAATCTCCGTCTAATGACAGCTTGTCCAATGAGAGATCTCTGCAAAGGCAGAACCACATCAATCAGCCACTCTAACGAAAGATCTTCGACTCGAAACGTTAACCGACTCCATAGATAGATATTAATTCACTCCCCTGGGAGAGGAGAGGGTTACTGACAATGTGTGGTTGAAATATTAAGTGGAAGATGAGAAGATGAGATATTGCAGGAGTGGACTTGATAAGGCTCCAGGTCTTTTTTTCGCTCTTTCTTTTCGCTTTCCAGTGCCTTGGGAGGTCCTCCCGACATGAAAGGCGCTACACAAATGTAATTTGTTGTTGTTGTTGTAAGTAATTGGAACAACTGATGTAAGTGTGTGAGAGGAACAGGTTCCCCCAGCTCTTGGTTGCTGGACAGGTTTGAACGCTTACCCTGACGTTGACAGACTATGCCTGCTCTCGGGCACGGAGGACATGTGAGCAGAGGGGCTGTACGTCCCCGTGGAGTTAACAGTCGGAATCGCTTTCCTTAATAGTCGCCCCCAGGTAGCGATGTTGATGTTCATTTGAGGAGCTCGAAGGAAAGCCTTGCCTGCAACAGAACACGTGAAGCAGTTAACAAAGTAAGACGGGGTTTGGAGAATCAGTGGATGAGAGAAGGATGAACTTCATACCCAAAGATATCATCAGGCTCCCAGCACCACCTTATGTTTCTTGCAGTGCTATATCAGTGGGCAAATCGACCTCAGCAGTTAAAGACAATGGGAAGCTCGCCCACAATATATGCAGTCAATTCACTTTACAGTATATCCTGTGAAGCGCTTTGAGACGTCCTCCCGACAGGAAAGGCATGATTACAAATGTAATTATGTATTGTAACGTTTTTCTCTAACACCGACTGGAACTGAAAAGGCAGCAAAGGTGGAAACACGAGTGCTCTCCTCCCTACCTTGCTGTTTGGAGAAGATCTTCTTCTGTCTTCGCAGTTTGGGTATCCTCTCGATCATAGGATTGAAGAATGTAATCTGTCCAGAGACAATAATACTCATTGAGACGTCTTAGCAATACAATAAGGCACTGTATCAAACTCAAGGATCGTTTTTAAGCATTATTACTTAGCTTCTTACACTACAGTGGCAACACTCACTTCGATCGAATTGGGGCTCAAATTCCAATGACTTTATCATGACTTTAACAACAACGTGTATTGATATAGCGCCACTCACACAGGGAAGAGTTCTCAGAGCACTTCATCCTGATCGATTAACTTGGAAACAACTCTGGAGTCTAATACCAATGGCTAGCACTCTTATATTTGCATCAGAAGGTTGTAACAAACTCATGTCGAAACCTGCAGTCCAGGTTGACACTCCAGTGCAGGGATGGTGGTGGTGCGGGAATGCTGCTCTGTTAGAGGTGCCATACAATAACGTCTGACATTTATACACTGCCCTTCACGCAGGGTAGCGCCTCAGAGCGAGTTAGTACCTACCTCAGCCAGGAGAGTGCCCAGAGGCTCCAGATCCAGGTGGATTTCATGCCGCTGATTGTCTAAGAAGTCCTCCAGCTTGAGGTATTTTAAGGCACAGAGGGAACGCCAATCTCGCCAGTAAACACTGATCTCCAGCTCCCGTGACTACGAAATAAGAGAGCATTGTTATCAGCCTGCAGAGAATACTGCTCACACCAGCCTCCAGCAGAAAACACCTCTGCAAATGGTATTCTTCCAAAATCAATATGGCGATTGATTGGCCAGTCAATATCTTTACACATTTGCCGAAGAGGAACAATTAAGATTAATTTTAATTACGCCTAGAAATATTTACAATTCAATCGCAGGCTGTGTCCTCTGGTTCTACTGTTCTGGATCAGCTTGAAACAGCTGGTCATAGTCACATTATCCAGTCGCTTTAGAATCTTAAAAACAGCAATCATATCACCTCTCAACCTACTCTTCTTCAGGGTGAACTTTCCAGTTTACATAATTTCTCCTCATAATCCAGTCCCTCCATCCCCTCAATCATTCACTAACCCCTCACTCCTTGGTATCAGCTTATGAACCTGTGCTATAGCCTCTCCCGGATTGGCAGGTAAACCTCTTTAAGTGTTAATTAAAGGGAACCTCCAGCACGATGTCAGCGCCTGCCTGTTGGGCTCAGAGGGCCAGCCTCTCGCACCATTCCTCGTCTACACTCACACGATCCAGCTCCACTGTGAAAGTCTGGTTCCATGACTCTTCGCCTATTGGTTTCCATGCGGTCTGCCCAACCACTACATTATCCAGCTTCAGCACAGCGCTCACATCATCTGCAGGAAGAGCACAGAACGCAGGTCAGTGATAGACAACTTCATATAACATCTCTTTGCACATCACACTCATCCTAGTTGATCTGCGGATCTGGAGGGTCAAACAAATGGACAACTTTCGGAAAGAGAAATACCTAAAGTATCGGAACCAGACTGAGAGTGTCTCGTACGCCATTCGCACATGGAAATTCCTGTGTGTTTGGCATGGGATTCACACACTCTTCCCAGATGCACACAGTCTGCTTACCCAATTCCTGACAGCATTAACCGTAGGTTGGCGAATGCCAAGGCTTGGGGTCCCCAGTGTACATGTCGGGGTACTGCAAGTGTTCAGCTACAACTGCACAGCTTGCCATCGCCAGCACCGCCTGGCAAGCTTCCAGCAGCAAAGTGTTGCTGCCCAACAACAACAACAAATGACATTTACACAGCACTTTTCACATCGGAAGGATGTCCCAAGGTGCTGGATGGACAGTCAGGGATTTGGACCCGAGCTGGGGGCAGGGATTAGGAGGGGCTGGAGGGCAGGGAGGGTGTGGGGTAGGAGGGTGACCGAAGACGCACTTGGGCGAAGAGCTAAAGGGCTATTCAAAAAGAGATGAGGATCTTGAGACGGGCCGTGAAGAAGGACAGGGAGGGGGCGTCATAAAGGGATCGTGGGATGGAGTTCCAGAGGAGGGGGCAGAGAGGCTGAATAGCGATACAGAATACCAGCACCACCCTTGCACTGACTATGACTACAATTTTTCAAATAGTGTTTCAAATCCAGCAAAGAAGCTCAGTATATTCTGTATTAAAGTTACTCAACTGGACAGCTCTTCTGTTTTGAAGAGGTTCCTCCCACTGCCGCTGCCACTGCGCCCATACAGCCCGCGGCTGGTCCTGCTCATGAAGGACGTGCGGCTGTCACTGGGGCTGTAGGCGGGCAGAGTCACACCCGAGCCACGGGATCGGCCAGGAACCAACTCTAACAGAGTCTTACAGTCAACCATACGGACCTTCAGTGTGCCTGGAATCACAAGTCAGAAACAGACAGTGGATTAGTATTCCAGGAGGTTCTGTACACAAGATACAAGCAGTGTCACAGCCAGCACATTAGCGGATTTGACTGACACATGTGTAACCAGCTGGAGAGCAGGGAGAGCTAAACAACAACAAATGACATTTGTAGAGCGCCTTTCACATCAACTAAAAGATGGCAGAATTCCAGGTATCAAGCCATTGCAACATGGGGGGGGGGGGGGAGTGGTGAGCCTGTTCGGGTGTATGTTAAAGGGCTACGATAATAACCCTTGCAATTGGTATTGCGCCTTATCACGTCATCGAGAAGTCACATAAAGAGAAGACTTTTAAAGGGCTATTCAAAAAGAGAAACATTCCCCTCGTATCCTAGCTAACATTACAGATGAACTGATCAATCCCTCCATGGCTGTGTGAAAACTCTGTGTTGCTGTGTGATAATTGGCTGTCGAATTTGCCCACAAGGAACGCAATCACTCTCCACTTAATGGTACGTCCTGTGAAGCGCTGTGAATCATTATTAAAAGACTTGATCTGGGTCATCAGATTTCTGTTGACATGACCAGCAGAACAGGAAGTAACACTGATGGCGCTAATGATGCAGACTTGGGCCATTGTAGCACAAAAGTTAGCTAGTACACAGGAAGCAAGCAGGCTGGCTATGCACACACACATACACACACACACACACACAGAAACGGTTCAACACTGCAGCCTGTGTTCATGCTATAGTGGATCCACCTTTATATTCTGTGGTTCCATTTGACCTGGTCTCCTCACAGCTCAGATTGAGGACTCGCTGTGTGTATGAGGTCCAGTCACTGCTTACCCATTCTCAACACACAACAGTAATAACTGGTTTATATAGTGCCCTTCACGTCGCATGACATCTTGGAGCACACTACAGTGGCGGAGTTGGACGCCGAGCCACGGCAACAGGGCAGCAGTGAACTTTGAGATGTCTCGACGACATGATAAGGCGCTATATCAAATCCAAGGATTATTATTTATTATTAATACGCAGAGATGTAGTGTCTAATCCCAAATTTGGTTCCTTCCCCTCATCATTCTGGTAGGCGTAGGAATTGTGAGGTACCGTACGGTTGACTGGCCCTTTGAAACCCATCTTATCCAGATCCATCAATGAGCCAATCAACATTTTGGTACGATTTTTATTCTATGAATGAATAAGTGCTCGCAGGGCCTCCCAGCTCCCACACTGTGCTTCTCTGTCCTTCAGGAATCTCACACTGTGATATACAGCTGGCAATCGGCGGCTTGTACACAACACAGAATTGTCTGCATTAGTATGCGAGAGAGCACTAGGAGTGAAGTACCCAGACAGGTCAGCACTTTCACATGAGGTTTGTCTGAACACTTCCAAATGGGCTTTCTCTACCGGGTAACACAGGATTTACAACCCATCGAAGCCTGCAATTCTCCACCAAGGTCTCGCTCACATTACAATGTACACAGAAAACAGTTAAGTTTCTAAAGTCCGCACTGAATTGCTGGAAGTCTCTATGGCTCAATCTATGGCTGCAGTAAACTAGCTCATCTCAAGCAGTGATTAGAAATTCTCCTGTATGTTGTGAAAGGCGCTGTGTATTTATCCTTGCATTTGATGTAGCTCCTTATCATGTCTTCAAGGCGTCTCAAAGCGCTCCACAGAATATACTGTAGAGTGAATTGACTGTATATTTTGTGAGTGAAACGCGGCAGCCAATTGCACACAGCAGCGCCCCACAGTCGTGGATTGAATGACCAAATTTTTATTATTATTATTTATTTATCTAATTATTCATTTAGTTTTGAAGGATTATTACCCCCGGAAAGCAATCTGTCAATTGACTAACAACTGGGTTCCTACTTATTGCTGGTAAACAGAGGCGTGTATAGAATAAGGAAACTTGCCTAAAGTTTCGCACTGCCCAGGAGTCGAACCCAGGTCCTCTGGCTTGCAAGGCGAGCGCTCTAACCACTATGCTACAAGACACCATTTGCATTTGTATAAATCAAGTTGTTTAGTGGGACCACCCCAGCAGCTCAGTACGTCCTCGTGACGTGAAAGGCGCTGTATAAATGCAATTTGTTGTTGTTTTGTCGTCGTTTGTATTGAAATAAAAATGTGGACGGGCAATAGTCCTGAACTACACGTTTCCAGTATATTCCAGATTTTCTCCTCGCCATTGGAACCCCTCAATACCTGCTGCCTTTTCTAGGTGCCTTCAGCCTCCCTCCCTCAGGTATCAATTTCATTGTTTGCAGAAATCTTGTCTCTGGCTCAGAATATTATGGGTTCAACAACAACAACTTTATATTTATAGAATCTTTGCTAAAATATTCACCTGTTTCTCTCTTTCTTTTTGCAAAGATTCTCAGATGTCTCAGCTTTGACCATCAGTAATACCTTGTTTATAATATAAATAATCTCTTGGATGTGATACCTACAATTCTATTAAAAGTAACTCTTCGTTTCAATTTCAGTAGAGACGGAAGAGATGCTATCTTTCTGATGAACCACTCAAATGGGCCATTTATAGTGCTGTATTTGACCATGCTGATTAGCAATGCTGAGATTAACAAGGAATCTATTCTGGAAAATAATTAACAGCCACATTAAAAGTGTATTCACTGCCAATAGAACCCTAGGCTCAGTGCCAAGTTCTCACTCATCTGACCCACTGGAGCTACTGAATTCCCCTGACAGCTTCCAGACACAGCTGGCCTCTCTCCAAACAGGCTCCAGCTCACAATTACACAAGCATCTCAGGGCCACCCCTCTACCTCCAAATTGACAACATGCCAACTTTCATAAGGAACTGGTATTGAGACGTACACCTCTCTCAGTGACTCATCGCCTATTAAGAAATATCACTCTGTTGGTCTAACATCCTAACAGGTCCCAATCTGCTCAATACTATTGGCCCCTCTCCATTACCAACACCTTGGAGCAATTCAACAACACCTCGCATTTGTAGGGTCCAGGAGCCCTCGACAGTAGCGGAGCTGGGTGGGAAGGGGGGGGAGGTGACCGTGGCACGGTCAAAGAGAAAGGTCTTCAGGTGCGACCGGAAGATGGGGAAGCAAGGGTCAAGGGGGTGGGATTGAGGCAGAGAGTACCAGAGATTCAAGGCGGAGAGGCTGAAAGCACAGCTGCCAATAGCGGAGCAGAAGGGACAAGGAATGTGCATAAGACCCGAGCCAGCTCAGCGAATGTGTCAGGTAAAGGAATGGGGTGTGAGCAAATAGCACTTCCTCTCCAAGGACAGAGAAGGGAAACCAGTTAGGCTGGCAAGAGGTCAGGGCGGGGAGTCCTGCGCTGTGATAGATGTATAATCATGTTGCTGGTATAAAACACCTTGAAAAATTAAAACATTTCATTAAACTCAAAATGAAATGAAAAGATTGAGAAATCAAAACATTGAGATGTCCTGCTGACATAAGAGGCTTTACAATTTACCCAAACTGGATAATAATAATAATAATCCTGACATTTGATATAGTGCTTTACCAAGTCTTCAAGACGTCTCAAAGAGCTTCAGAGGATACACTGTAAAGTGAATTGACTGTATATTTTGTGGGCGAAACGTGGCAGCCAATCGCACACAGCAGTGTCCCATTTGGATAAAGAGAACCGAACGCTTTCACCATGAGATTTACGTACCAGTGAGTGGCGAGGGCTTGTAGAGCGTGCTGTACTGGCTGTGTTGGTAAGCACTGTTATGCCGAGTGCTGAAGGCTGGGGAACAGGCCATGATTAGCTCCTCTTTCACAATGCAGCCCTTGGGGTGATCCTCCGGGAGCTCGTTCAGTCGCTGCTCCAGCGAATGCTTCAGTAAATCCGCCTTCTCACTTGACTCGTTCAGCCTGGACTGAGCCTGGGATCACAAGTACACAGAAACTTTAGAACGTGCAGCAGAACTCAGTTAGAGTCCTGGAGCTCAGTGGTTAGAGCGCTTGCCTCGTAAGCGAGAGGACCTGGGTTCGATTCCCGGCCAGGTCAGGGCGAAACGTTGGGCACGTTTCCTTACTCCACACACACGCCTGTTTACCAGCAGTAAGTAGGAACCCGATTGTCAGTCGATTGGCAGATGGCTTTTCTGGGGATGATAATCCCTTCAAATATAAATGAATGACCTGCCAGGGTGCTATACTAATGAGAGCTTGCTCCCTACACCTTCATGAGCTCAAAAAGTTATACTCTAAATCAGACCCTCATGGTGTACTCCTATCCTATTCCCACAATTGATTGAAGCTAAAACCTTTTGATATGGATACATAAAGTTCTGGGGAAGACTACGCAACCGAAAAAGTACAGAGATGGGACTTAAAACTCAAGGTGGAGCTCGACACTCCAATGCAGTGTTGAGGAGCACTGCATTATTGGAGGTGCCATCCACTGGATGAAACGTGAAACCTATCTGTTCAGATGGACATTAAAGATCCCATGTACTATTTCAAGGAGGAGGGAGCTTCTAACCCACTGGCTTGGCCAACACTCCAGATTAAATTGGTCATTCACTTTATGGCAGTTTGTGAGACATGGTTGTTTGGCAGTTACTGGTCATTTGCTAATTGGCTGTGAAATTTGACTACGGAATACAGTCACCACACTCCACGCATTTCAAAATAAGACCTTTTTCTCTCTCTTTCCATGGAAGAATGGGCGATCTAGAGGGAGATCTTTAAAACAAGCATCAACATGTTTCTAATTTGTGGTGTTAACAATCTCCAGAATCAAAAGTATTAGGCTGCTTTCTTGCTGAGAGATCTTTCAGCTGGCAACACTTCTAACAAAGTAGAATCGTTAGGATTGCGTTATTTTTCCAGTGGATGCCAAAGATAAGATATATTTGAATTTAACAGAACGTTCTTCAGCTTGAAATAATCCCTGAAGAAGAAACTAACCACAGTTTTATCTTGTGCTGAAAAATGTTTCGAATCAGTTAAATCAGGAAATGAGTGATCCATCCCAATTCCATTCTGTCAAAACCACAGTAGATGAATTGCTGATAGGAATTATACACATGTAATCAGTTACAGAATAAGTCAATGTGTGTTCTACATTCCACGCATTCTACAGTTTTACTTTTAATGGAAGATTTTGCCTTGAAGTACACACTCTTCTGCATATTTCACTAGTCATTTAAAATATGCCTCCCATTTGTCCTCTCCGCTCCACCATCGGTGGCCGTGCCTTCAGCCACAATGCCCCGAAATTCTGGAACACTCTCCCTCAATCCCTCCGCCTTGCCCCTTCCCTCCCTGCCTTCAAATCCCGCCTCAAGACCTTCCTTTTTGATCGTGCTTACGGTCCCCCTCTTCCCTCTCTCCCCCCCCCCCCGGCTCGTAGTCAGACTCCATGGTATGGGCAGACAGACACATACCTTATCCATAGTACAACGTTATATAAGAGGAACCCTTCCGAGGAGCTTACCTCTGAGATCGCTTTCTTATCGTGAATCTTGGCCGATCCCAAAAGCCGCAGCACGTTTTTGGCCCCTTCAGCCACGGCATATTCCACACGGAAATGATGGCGAAGTTCTTCGATTCTCAGCTCAATGAGCGAGAGCTCTGGCTTACCTGTAATGTACAACAGACAGTGAAGTGGGTCACAATTAACCATGGTGTCACCACTGGGGAGATCCCTTAAACACATAGGAGAAGGCTTCTGAGGGAACCGGAACCCAGAGGAACTCTTCACCCTGTATTTTATAAGTATTTTTTCTCTAGCAATGTTCTTTATCCTCTCCTGAAGGCATTTCACTCCTCTTTATTTCTACTGAAGTACCCCTATCCTCCCCCTGCTCTAGGGTTAGGGTTAAGTTTGGGTATCGCCTGCTTTGGACCCTCTAGGAAAGGTTATTGAGTTGTTGTCTATCAAGCTTGTCAATTCCCTTTAGTATTTTAAACCACGCAGTCATAAGAAAGCGCGGAACCAAGTGCCATGTCTTCACTATACACCAACGTCATATTGTTTCACCCACAAAATACAGTCAATTCACTTTACAGTACATTCTGTGAAGCGCTTTGAGATGCCTCAACGACGTGATAAGGCACTGTATCAAATGCAAGGATTATTTATTTACTGATACCACCTCAGTGAGCTCAGCTTCAACTGGACATAAATATTAAGTTACAACAAGATTGCATTTAGTGACTTCAATGCATGATTGGGGATTATACTCCCGGCTCCAATAAACTTGACATTCCCTATGACAATTAAACTCCATATATAGTAAAAAGGGGCTTCAGAACTGGATAAAGCACAATGACCCTGTTTGGTATTTGAAAAGTATGTTCGCTTGATGTCTGCTCCCAAGCTCTGCTGCCTTAGCATTTACAGACTGTTTGTTGAAACTTTGAATTTGATAAGACTTGATAAATTAGAGAGCCATATAAACAAGCCCAGGCTATTGCTGTACTAAATGCCTCCCATCTCAATGACAATGTACAGCAATAATTCCTTCCATAAATATTAAAGCATTGGCCACACATGGTTTTCCAGGATCCACAATGATAATGGAATAAAGGCAAAAGGATAATAAGACGGTGGTCAGTATATGATAATAATAATAATACTGCTTGGATTTTATACACTGTCCAACAATGAACAGAAATCCACTTAACAATACACTTTCTGTTTTCCTGACTGACAAAGGCAGGTGCCCAGGAGTGCCTGACACTAGGATTCCATCGAGGGCTTCAGAGGATGATATGAGTTCTTTATGATGGAATTACTTTATTTTAGCATTTCAGACATTACTTTTTGTTCTGTTAATGTCCACCCTCTGCGCCTGCTCTCCTGAAGGCGCAATTCCCTCTCCATGGGCAGGGTTCCACGGACAATCTCACCCAGAGCGCTCACGATTCTCGAATGGGAGTCACACAGGGAATATTGGTAGAGTATTTAACTACAAAACCATCACAAGCAAGTTTGCTCCTTTCCGTAGCAAACATCTACATACATTCACTTGCCATTATACATTCCAGGAACTGACTAATAGTTATTATCATCATCCTCCCAGTGAAGCCGTCCCTGATGCCGGCCGTTCTCTATCCAATAATGTCTACAACAGGCATGGCTGATTGTTTGGCAATGTGACAATGCAGATTTAAGTAACCGGTTCAAAGAATTGCACGTTAATCTTGCTCGCAGCTCTTGGAAAGTCTAGTTCCTACACAGCTAATAAAACCCTCAACAGTGTACTCTCCTGGGAGTCTTTAGCCTCTCTGCCCCCATGCTTTGGAACTCCATCCCACATTCCCTTTGACTCACTCCCTCCCTTGCCTCCTTCATGGCACATCTCAAGACCCTCCTCTTTGACCATGCCGTCGACCACCCTCCTACCCCTACCCTCCACCATCCCTTACTCCAACTCCCTTCACACCCCGATTGAGTACAAATCCCTATCTGTTGTATTGCATTGTATTGCTGTAGTCTTCTCAGTCTCAGGTGAAGCTATCGTTCCCGATCAGTTACCTTGCCCGTCTTCAAACACCAGATGCACCTCATCCGCCTGCACTGCCTTGCGAACCTGCATTCGGATCACCTCAATCTTGGTCTTGCTGTCCTGCAGCATCTGCTGAGCAGTCCAAAGCAGCTTCCGATCCTGAGAGATTGGAAAGTAAAACAAGAATGTATGACTAGCTCACATTGGTCAGGGCGCTGAATGTTTGTAATGCCTTCCGTATCACATCTTCTGAAAAATTGAATAGTAGAACTGAGCTGGGATTGTTAATCTCAGAGGACCTGTCAAGATGAATCAACAAGTCAGAAGTGGGGGGGGGCGGGGGGAAGCAGCTGGTTAAAGAGCCAGCACCACCCAACGGGGAGCTTTCCTCAGTAGCGAAAGTTGTTTTGGAACCGCAAATTCATCACTCAGAAAGTTGGCATTGCTGATGCAGATCTGCATTGTCTGTCTCAATGGGAATGTGAGCCCTGTGGTCATTCAAGCCATCCTCAATACTTCTAAATATACAGAGGAGAACTATTATATCAATTAATTCAAGCACAGATATCCCTCGCCTTCAGGACAAAAATAAAAAAAGCAGCACTGGCAATGAGGCGGTGGTGTTGAGAGATATTTGTCATGGTCTTAGTTTCACTCAGCTGCTTTGTTGAGATGAGATTGTCTGACAGATGGCCGCTCTGGTCATGTGGAAGCCAATTCAAAAGTGTGTTACTTGGTGGAATCAGCATCACAGGTAACAACTCACATTCTGTGCGCAATTGGCTGCCATGTTTCGCCCACAAAATGTATAGTCGATTCACTTTACAGTGTATTCTGTGAAGAGCTCTGAGACGTCTCAAAGACACAAAGATTGTTATTATTATTATTATTAACAACAAAATGTTCCTTCAAGAGAACTGGAGATGAAGTCACCATCACATCTCCGGTGTATTTCCCAGCAGCAAGATGACTGCATGGTTGACAGAGGTCCAGGAACCCACCCCAGCTCAGCTGTGGAACAATAGATACATCAGCACATGTGTTTGACACGGTGCCCTCTGTCCAAATGCCTCACATGATGAGTGCCTGTGAAATGGAATGATTGAATAACGGAGAAAAATTTAGCAGCTAATCTTTTCCAGCAACAGCTCCTGAACTGACAGACACTCATGGTCAAGGTTCATATGATCAATGGCTTCTGGGGTAAAGTTTCCAGAGGGACTGGAACCCAGGGATCTGCATCCCAAGAAACAGATAAAATCAAACTGGGAGTGAGGGAAGAGAATTTTACTGAATATAAATCTGAAGGGTTTGAAATTGAGAATGACGTATTTTCATCGCAAGGGCAGCTCTGACAGCCAAATTTTCCGTTTGGCAATGCACAATCAAAACTAGGAAATTAGGCACTAAAGCTGCCCTCGAGAGACTGTCAAATCTAAATTCATTACCCTGACGAGACCTCGCATTGTCCTCTACACAGCAAGAGTTTTATTACTAAAAACATGGTATCTCATGGCACATTTTCATAGCTTATCCAATAACGCTCAAGTTACAAGGCAGATTAGGGCTGCTGTGTGGCTAATATAGTCAGTTACTTTAGAAATTCAATTCAAATTGGTTCAATGCTTTCTAGACACTCACAATCTTCTGCTTTGTTCTTTATTGATCAAAAATATAATTTCCTCTGCCTGACCTTGAGACATTAGCTGAGCGCACTGAGCGAGCGCACCTCACTTACAATCTTCACGAACAGCGAGTGAGTATGCAAGTCTCAGGGTGTTAAAACTGAGGTCTGCAAGGTAAGGCCAGCCACTTCCTCATGTGGAGGGAGGACATGTATTTTTTTTAAGCGATTGCAATTAAAATCAAATTTATATAAATAAGAGCAAGCTTGTGGCACCTCGCGATGATCCGAACATGAAGACAAAGCGAAGGAGAATAACCCCAGTGCCCACCGAGGGAGGGGCCATTCCTTTCACAAACCGAATTGCCCTGACACCAGTGAAGAGCATTTGACGTACAGAAACTGAAAGGAGGAAAGGAAGCTAAAAATAAATACTTACTTTTACTGGCCCATTGGTATACATCTGAATCATGTTCTCAGCCCCTTGCTTAACCTTCATCTCTATATCCAGCTGTTTCTCGAGAGCCACGATACGGTTCCTGTTAGCAGTCGACCGAGCCTCGCGGCTCAGAGTGCCAGGGGACAGCGGTGCATCTGAACAGAGTGAAAAACATTACCATCAGTGAGGTCCGAGGAGAATTCTCTTCTCCCTCTGCTATTTTGACAGTCCGTTACCTTAGTTTGGCTGCAGTGTGCAAAAATAATCCTTGCATTTGATACAGTGATGAATAACGTAAAAACATCTCAAAGAATTTCATCGGCAATTGCCCTCAAGTGTAGTAATGATGTATTTGTAGAAAAAATAATCTTTGCAGAGGAATTTCATCCACAAGCATATGTATAATCAGCCATTAGCTTTATAATGTTGGTAAGATTGTAAGACTTTACAAGACTAGTTTCACAATTGAGGCCTTCCATGTTTCAATTGTTTTAATTATTTTAATTGTTGCCTCTTATTCAATATTTGGAAAATGAGAAACGAATGATTTAGAAATAAAGGAGTTTTTCTTTTTAGTTTGTTTTTGGCTAAAAACACAATATTAAATAAACATAACATAGAAAATGGAAGTGCAAATGTGTGGCAAAAGAACATAACAGCACATGGATGGTTTGTTTTTTTTGTTATCAATGAGAGGCTTGGATACTTTACTCTTTCAAATTATGCTGCCGTCAGAATGACAGAGCTTGCTCGATGTGTAACAGAATAAACATTATTAACCGAGGTACAAACACAAACTTGCCATCATAAAATGTTTGAAAGAAACTTTGTAAAATGTAATCAAAAAGCTTTTGAAGCTCCCAAGAAGTTGGGAAAAAATACCATTAAAACGGTCTCTTTTTAAACTGTTTCACATTGTTCAACCGGAAGCCCTGGAACAGACGGTGTTTCAAGGCTTCCTGTGAAGCCATGTGATGGGGTGAGGAACAGAAGAGCGGAAAGGGGAGGACTGGAGTTATACAGTGCAGAACTGGTCTGTTAATAGAGTGCGCATGGGTCATGCTGTGTAGATTTAAACAGCTTCCTGTGTGCTGTCGAATCAAGTCTCAGCCTCACAGACAGGATTCAGTGTAATTGTGGCATTAGTTTTGCTGAATAATTGCTCACACAAATGTTCCTTCCCTAAGCAGCTGTTATGCTCCGCTAATTTGTAAATTTCCACAGTTGAAACAGTCAAATAGGGGAAAAAAAATCTCTAAAATAGCCAAACTCGAATGGTAGCTGTTGCCAATGCCCCTTCACTCCTGAACTGAAGGCTTTAATGTGGTCTGCAACGATTAGCTGTGAACAAGTAAGTTATGAACCGCTGAACAAAAATTCCCACCACAGTGATTCCCACTTCCCTCACAGTGGGGGAAAAACTATTAAAAATAAAGAGCTGCCAAGAGCTAAAACTAATTGATTTCCTCCTCCCACTCCAGACTCCTCCTCCAGACTCCTACGATACATCTCCCCCGAATTCCTCAAATTGCCAACACATATCTCATTTCATTAGCACATCCAAGGCCACGATCCTCACGGTCTCAGCCTTGTTAGACCACACAGAATATTTGCAATGTTTCAAATTCCAAAATTGGTTTCGCAGTTTTTAAACCGGATCTTTGAAAAATCTGCCAGATGAAGACCAATTTAAGAATTTTTAAACTTCTGAAGTATCTTACATTCAAGACGATGACAATGAGCAGGTGTAGAAACGTAGATACTTTCTTCCCCTCTCCCGAGCCCCTTGATTCCTTTCTCCCTCATGTACACAATACAGTTTCCTCTTCACTGCATTTCATGCTTTCGTTTTGAAGCACAGCTTCCAGCAGAGAGATGTGCATTCTTAGCATCTGTGCAAGTTCCTCTTAGATCTTCTGCTGTCCCCATCTAATATTTATATTCCCTTATTTTGGCCTCATCAACAAGTCGAATAGCCTATTAATTGGCAGTTTCCTTTTCTGGGGCAATAATCCCCTCCCAAAAAATGATAAAATCTTAATTTGGTTACTCAATCCAACAATGAGACACTGCTGTGCGCAATTGGCTGCCATGTTTTGCCCACAAAATATTCATTTTACTATCTATTTTGTGAAGCGCTTTGAAACCTCTCAAAGACGTGATAAAGCACTATATCAAATGCAAGGATTATTATTAAGACGGAAGGACTGAGGCAGGATAACACAGTATTGAGAGGTGATTTGGGACTCTCATTCCCAGGCATGATTGACAATACTCTTGGAAAGAAATATCTTGAGGCGTCTGAACTGGGCAATTGGGAAGTGGAACCATTTTATTTTATCCCTGAGTAATTATCTTGAAAATCTATTACAATATATTGGGAGCATTTGTTTAAATGGGAGTATACAAGAAAATAGAGTTCATTGCAAGATCAGGGAGCCTTGACAGGATGTAGAAGGGAGAAAAGAAACAAAAAAAACAAAACAGTGGCAGTGAATTTTGAACTATGGTCACTCTGGCCTCTGAGTCATGCAATCTGGAAACTGAGGTGGTGATTGCCCAAACTCCTCTCCTCTCAGCAGAGAAAGGAAATCAGCATCACTGCAGCCCGGGCTGGATTCCAAAGCTGAAGGCAACATGCTGCACCAAGGCACCTAGCCAACAGGGCTCAGCATAGACAGCTTGGCTCAGTGATGTTCTCACCTCAGAGTCAGGAAGTCCTGGGTTCAAATCCCCACCTCGGGATACAGTATATCCTGTGAAGTGCTTTGAGACGCCTTGACGACATAATAAGGGGCTATACCAAACACAAGGATGATTATTATCATTATGGAGTACCACATGCACCGATGGAGAGGAAATCCTGAGGAAGATTCACAGCTCGGGGCAAAACTTCCAGAGTTAACACCAAGAATCCACGACTGGAGAGGAACATTTCATGGGCTGTAAATGGAACCTTGCCGGAAGCATACAGACTGTTCCAAGGTTCCTACCCAAAAAAAACAGGCATGACACCTCACAATTACCTATGAATTGCTTTTACGACAGTTTGGTGTTTTAGACATTGTGTAAAATTCAAGTATAAGAACTGCCCAGCCAGCCGCTCAGTGTATCAACAACAACAAATTACAATTGTATAGCGCCTTTGAGCACAGAGCCCAGCCAATACCTTGCAGTTCATCAGGATCTTTGTACACAATGTGAGCGTCCAGGTCCTGGAGCTGCTGGTGTAGCTCCTCCAGTTTGCGGTTGGAGTTCTTCAGGATGTTCTCCACGTTGGATAGGTGTTTTTTGTCAGTGCTGGCTTTCCGCAGGTTCTCAGCGCCTTCCTTGATCTTCAGCTCCTTCCTGATCTCCCGTCTGATTTGCTCTTTGGCTTCATCCAGTTTTTGCTGAAACGATGTGTCGGAGAAATCCGAACTCTGGTCCAGTCCGAGCTGTTCGAAGAACGAGAAGCTTCCAGGGTCGCTCTGATAGGGAAAGCAGGTGAGGAGGAGAAAGAATGAATATTCATTCAACCACAAGATATAGTCAATTCACTTTACAGTATCTTCTGTGAAGCGCTTTGAGACATTTTGAAGATGTGATCATTTTGAAGGCGCTATATCAAATGAAAGGATTATTATGATCACCATGTGAGGATAGGTGTCGTCAGGTAATGAATGGTTCACAGGACAGTACCTACTGTTAATACCAGGGGAGCTAGTCTCTCAGTTTCTGCTATTGTCAAAGAAAGGCCTGTAACAGTATAAGTTCACAGCAAAATGGACTGAGGTTATACAACCATGCCGTTGTGACCATTACTGGAGCATGCTTCACACTAGGATTCAGGCTTCAGGCGACTAGTTGTCGCACATAGAACAAAGGAATCACAGAATGAAGGTTACTCTCTCTTCACAAAAGCATTAACTCATCTAGCAGCAGCTAGTTACCGTAATGCCAATTCCCTGATCTTTTCCAAAAACACTTTACATGAAGGACAGGTGTTTTTTGTCAGCGGTTGCTTTCTGCAGGTGCTCAGTGGAAAGCTTTTCATAAAATGTTTGCTGAATTATCTTTTAAATGTTATGGTCACAGTGGCCATTAGTGTCAAAATATTCCATAAACTGATATCCTTTGCCTTTCATACAATATCATCTTTTCATCTCTAGAACCTGGACTGCAATCCAGCTTTGATTGAATTCTTCTCTCTCTGCGCCAGTTTTAAGCATTCAAAATGAAAGGTTTTGTGGGCTTTCACAACCCAGTTCCCAGCGGAGAGAGAGAAGCACAGTACAAACCCGCCAGTAAATCAATTTAGCACAATCTGAGGTTTCAAAGCACATTTGCCAATTGGGTGCCACTTAAAAGTTTTAGTGGAATTGAAATGCAGACGTCATTAGTAACACACTGAATGCCTCCTCACATTTCAACACATTAACATTAACATCTGGATTTATAGGTAGTATCCAGGCAAGACCCACCAGCCTGAATGTGCCCAAATCAATGTAAAGCTTTTAAGTTTTTATTTCAGAAATATTGCTGAGTTCAGAGAAGTAAAAGGAAGCACATTATCTTACAAGTGAAGATTTCTAATTATTTTTAACTCCACATTTGATCAGTGCCAGGAAAGTGCGATTGCTGAAGGCCTTGACATGCACAGGCTATTTATTTATGGTGCCTCATTTCAGGACTAGCAGATGTTGGTCACTATCGTTTTTTCATAAGATAAATTCTGGCCAAAAACATAGAAAGAAAAAAACTTGTGTGCGGGCTCAGAAAAGTCACACGTTATGATGGGTTAATTACACCATTTCCCTGCCTACTATCACCCTGGGGGTGTTGAGTGGTTGGGGGCGGGCGGGGGATAAAGCAACAACAAATGATGATGTAGGGATGATGTCCCAAGGACAGTCAAGGTTTCTGAGCTAAGAGGATCCACAGTACTATGGCACAATAATGAAAAAACTAGCAAGCCTGGCTCATCGGCAGGACTGGAGATGACAGACCTCCTTCACTGGGAGGAGGGATTCTTCCCACTTGGCTCCTGTTAATCCTAAATGCCAAACAAATACGATGGCCCTAGTTTGACACACAGAAGGAAGCATTCTGGACAGTATTCAGTCAAATTCTACTAGTGACCCAATGCATACTCTGGATCCTCAAGCCTTGGGTTTCTCCAACCTATCCTTAGTACCCTCCAGAGTTAGGTATAAATAAGGGAGTAAGTGTGCACGCCTTTCCAGACACAGGGCATTTCCATGTGGCATACACATGTGAAACTCAGTCTGGTTTGGATAACCATAGACATGGTAATTGGGTTTGTGTATGCGTCAGACACGCAGCTGATGGGGTTGAAAGGAATGGACCTTTGCAGTGCCCTGAGGCCGTCAATGACACTCAATGCCAGGCCAGGAAGGCAGACCATTAGTTGTGTTAGTTTGGAATGTCCTACGACCAGACCCTCTCACTCATTGCCATGAATTTCTTTGAAGTCCATGAGTTAGTTCCTACTCTTACACACACCCATCACTAATGTATTCCAACAACTAATTCTGTTTTAAATGAACTGTTCTTTCACCTTTCCTCGGAACATTCCAAACTGAATGAGGAAAGAGGCTGAGAGAAATCTGAGGAACAGGCAGGTCTACTTCGTGCTAGGTAAACAGAGGCATGCGTGTGGAGTAAGGAAACCTGCCCAACGTTTCGCCCTGCCTGGGAATCGAACCCAGGTCTTCTCGGTTGCAAGGTGAGTGCTCTATCCACTGAGTTACAGGTCTCCACCATTAAAAACAATCCTACTTCATTGCAGCCACGATGCTGTGATTCTGGTGAAAGGATAATGAGCGATTAGAGTTTCTGCCTGTAATCTCACACGTACACAATGATACTATTATGTGAATTACAGTAATTCCAGCTGAAAGATTACTGTACAAATAAATCACTAAATGATGTTATTTTATTTTATGGAAAAGGGGATTTCATACCCTAGTCATGTTCAGCCATTTCCCCGGAGGTCCAGGTTTTGCACTCAGCAAATACAGTTGCAGCAAACAGAAGGATCAGGACATACCAATGGTTTAGGAAATGTCTGTTAAAGCGAAGGAAGTGATTTTGTCTGTGTTGAGGATGACATTATCCTCACAGCAGCAGTGGCACAGCACAGGCTGCTCGCTCACAAGAAGGAATAATCCAGACAGACCACATTTGCTTCCAACCAGGCCTGCTTCCTGCCAATTTCTGTTTAGCTATATCAAAGTAGCCTCTGCTCCTGCGTCTATCTACGTTAACCCTTTTTTTTGGAGCAAGCCACAACTTAGCCAATAGCATTCTCCGGGATATACTGTGAAGTGACTGTGTATTTTATGGGCGGTGGTCAATTGCGCACAGAGACATCCCACAAACAGCCATGGAGTGAGCAACCAATTTTATTTGGGGATTGTTGGCCAAGATACTGGGAGAGAGTGCAGTACATGGCCCCAAGTACTGGGTACTGAAAGTTCAGATGGAACAAAATGAATCATCTTAGTAATGGACGATTTAGCAAAAAATTTTTTGGCAGTTACCTGAATTTCTACAGCCAAATAAAGCCACAAATGGTAGAGAGTGCACAGCATCTGTGCTGGAGAGGACCTGGGTCTCCAGCTAAAATACTTACAAGATCAACATACAGGATCATGTAGTGTACTGGAATGTGATTGTGCATGCTGTTAAACACTGAACTTTACTTTAGTACAGTAAAGTGTAACTGTGTGCATCACCACAATCCTGTACACTACGCTGTACTGTACTTCCTGTAAATCATTAGTAAATAATAAGTACCTGGAAATTACCAATCAGTTCAACCACATCAAAGGGTGAAGCAAAACATTTTAACTAAAACCTTTGAACATAACCACCACCAACAACAAACTACATTTGTATAGTGCCTTTCACATCAGGAGGACATCCCAAAGTGCGTAAACCACGCTAAACCACTCTCCCTCCTGGTAAGGAGGACTGCACTGTGTAATACAGTCCTGACAGTCCTGATAGTATAACCAGGAAAAGCACCATAAGCTATTGGCTGATCTACTGAGCAGGAAAGTCCCAGGTTCAGTGGTGAGCTAGCCAATCTCACTCAAGACACAAGTGTCTCCCAACTGGAGAGAAGGGTTCATCTCTCATAGAAATTTACAGCACGAAAAAGGCCATTCCATCTATCGTGTCTGTGCCAGCTCCTTTAAGAACAATCCTTTCAGGCCCATTTCCTTTCCTTCCCCCCACCCGACTCCTGATGTTTTCTCCCTTTTAGATCTCACTGGGGGGCTCGGCTGCCAATCACGTCCATACAGTCCACTCCCCTCACCTCACCCACTCCTCTTCCCCTTCAGTAGAACTGGTCACCATTTGTGATGTTCGGCCATTTCAGTATTTAAATGTTTACAGCAAACACCCAAATATAATGCCCCCACGGCGTTCGTTATACGGAGGTCAGCCTGTGCAGCCTTAATCAGTATACCAACCTGACCGACCGATGTCAGCAAGACCAAGGCCCTCCTGATTGGCTCACGGAAGCACCTCCGCACCTCATGCGCTGGCAGCATCAGCATCCACGGCTGCAAACTCAACCTCACTAAGCCAGACAAGAAGCTGGGTGTTTTGTTTGACCCTGAACTGTCCTTTCTCCCCCACATCCGCGCCATGATCGGCACTGCCTACCACCACCTCCGCAACATTGCCAGATTCCACCACTGCTTCACCCCTTAAGCCTGCTCCATGTCTCCCACCCATCGGTGGCCGGGCTTTCAGCCTCTCTGCCCCCATACTCTGGTACTCCATTCAACAGTCCCTTCGCCTCACTTCCTCCCTTGTCTCCTTCAAGCCCGGTCTCAAGACCACCTCTTCGACCATGCCTTTGGTCTCCCTCCCACCTCTCTGCCTTCCCTCACCGCTACCCCACTGCTCCCCCATGCTCGGGTCTCATGAACTGTCCAGCACTTTGGGACGTCCTCCTGACGTGAAAGGCGCTCTAAAAATGCAATTTTGTTGTTGTTGTTTGTATACTCAAGACTACAGAGCAACAATTAGGGTTAGTGATCCTCGTCACTGCTATGCAATACAACAGCTTTGAAAGATTTTCAGTTGTGCAAGAATAATGTGGATTAGTCACACCTAGCATTGCAGAGGACTGTGTGGGAGGATACGGTTGTCAAGACAATCCCTGACTAAGTGAACAATATAACAAGGATCTGCTTAAATCAATCTGCACAATGGATTTTTTTTGGCAATAATATTTTCTATGCTGATAAAATCAGAAGACATATTAAAGTAGCCAAGATACAAAAAGGCAAATTGGATTTTTGCATTATCTTGTTAAACTCTTGATATAACAATAATAATAAATCCTTGCATTAGATATAGCGCCTTATCACATCTTCGAGACATCTCAAAGCACTTCAGAATATACTGTAAAGTGTAGTGTCTGTACATTTTGTGAGTGAAAAATATA